GAAATCCTTTGAACCTTGATGGGCATATAATGTGTAGAACTAAAAAAAAAAAAAAAAAAAAAAAAAAAAAAAAAAAAAGGTAAGAAATTATATGGGGAAGTAGGGGAATGAGGAGACAAGGCCAGAGTGAAAGGATTAGATAACCTTGTGGAATAGCCTGTATTAGGTCTGTACTAGCACTCTCCTTATTGACTACTACCAGTGGGCCCACACTGTGGCAAGGGTGAGAAAAACTCAAGAAGAAAAGAGTTTTACAAATCTGTTACCTTGTGTGGAGAACAGACCCGGATGGCTCCTAGTCTGAACCCGTTATGAGCCACAGACAGGATGTGTATCAGATCATTTAAACATCACAGTCCATCACCACGAAGCTGGGCAATAGCTGAATATCACTGAAAAATGAGATGCTGCTTCCAAGTTCAATGTTTTAATGTTCTAATGTGTTAGTGTGTCTTTAGGACACATACATCGTTAGTCTGTTGTGAAGAGTTTCTTAATAAAAAGGCAGAATATGAGGAAAGCTTCTTCTATTTTTCCCTAAGTTGAAAGAAGCCTATGTATTTTTGTTGATGCTTCCTGGCACTAATGGCACCGTTTCTCTTCTAGATATTGATGAGTGCGAATCTAATCCCTGTGTAAATGGGGTGTGCAAAAACACACCAGGCTCTTTTGCTTGTGAATGTTCACCTGAAAGTACTTTGGATACAACCAGGACCATCTGCATAGGTATTTGTTCTTCTGAAGGTTTTATGTTTGCTTGTTGAAAATGTCCAGTGACATACTATAACATAATACACCAAGTTTAGAAAATATTTAAAAATAACTCATGTAAATAAAGTTAGTGGAAGACATTACAGAAAACAATGTTAAAATTGTTTGTTTTCACCGTTACTGTGGATATATAAAGTGTGACTAGCACTTGGGAGCGTGGTGTGCTTCCATGTCAAATTTGAAAGAGAGATGAAATTTTTTTTTGGTAACAAATGCAGAAATGCTAAAACTGCTTCTTGAGGATTATGCTCACTCACTGACTTCCCCTTGCAAGAGGGGTGGGCATGTTCTCATTAAGATCTGCTCTCTGGAAAAGCCAGTTTTCTGTTTGAGACGGAGCATGAGTAAGTTGTGTACAGTCCAGACCAGCTCAAGGCAGCCACGGACAATGCTGTGACTGAGATACTCTGTTTTTTCCCTTACTTGTTCTGGAGGGACAGTAATTTATAGCTATTATACTAGTCAGTGAGGAGAACTGTGGAACGATAGCTCTGTCTGATCCTTGGCTATCTCCTGCTACTCCCTGTGCTGGAAGATCGGATATCCAGACTGGGGGATTGAATAGATTAATGGAAGATCTAGAAAAGGTTCATATCTAGCCATTCATTTGCATGTCCCTCTAATCTGAGTCATAATAAATACTTAGATCTTGAGTGGTGTTGAGATATTCCACGTTAAGGTCAATAAGCATAAACTAGGATTTTCAAGGGCTCTGTGCTGGGATGATTTCAAGCTACAGTCCAGCATAGAGAAGGCTAAATTAAGAGCTTTTAAAAGAAATTCAGATCTGATGAAGTAAGTTATAATGGAAGGATGATTCTTTTTCTTGGTTAAATTCAAGTGTGTTTGCAAATATATTAATGTGTAATGCATGACAATACATTGGGTTTTTTTTTCCAAACAGAAACTGTTAAGGGTACCTGTTGGCAGAACATAGTGGATGGAAGATGTGAAATAAATATCAACGGAGCAACTCTGAAGTCCCAGTGCTGTTCCTCCCTAGGTGCTGCTTGGGGAAGCCCGTGTACACCATGTGAACGAGGTAACGCTGTTCATTTTCCTCAGAAACTTAGGCTATTTCCTATCCTGAGGCTGGCCCAGGTCATTCTCATAGAAGTTTGGGGGCAGGCTAGACAAATAGCTTGTTCTACTATCAATCACTCATTCCTTATTCAGTTGGAAAAAGAGAAGTCTTAATATTTGAGAGGTAGCATGAAGCTATAGAAGGTTCTGACTTTGAATTTTACAGTAAATATTTTACAAGTTTAAACTCTGAAGGGAAGGGACCACACCTACAGTCTGTAACTTGCAGCATTACTTTAGCATGGTTTGTCATAATTAGTGATCTAGAGTTCCTAAGGATGTAGCAATAGATGCATGTTCCCCAGAGCTCCCAAGAAAATGTTTGCAACAAATGGATCTTTGGTGTGGTAATGGAGGGAGGAGAGGGAGTGGCCCTTGTTATTGCAGTCTGTAGATTAACTGATGACCTAGAGAATCATACAGTTGATCAAGAAATGGGTTGAGGTCTCTGCATATTCACTTGATAATTAGACCAAACTGTAGGATGAGATGACGAATGCAGAAATGTGTGGGGGTTGTTATTTCTATATGCTGAGAGCTGCTAGTTTGCTCAAATCTTTAGTTAAATTCCTCCTGCATATCTTAGCAGAATTCATCCTCATCCATTCCTGGTAAATAGGGATGTTAATGTGCTGTGATCAAGTTAAATGAATTAATTGATTTGAATGAAGCAGGAATCATGTAACCACTTCAGGGTTAGCTAAGACACATGGGAAGCAAAAGTGGATAATGGTTGACACTCTATATATAGTTTATGTCATTGCCCCATCTTATCTCTTTCTTATTTTAGAAAATACTGAGATCCTGTGGAAGCACTCAGACTTCTCATAGCAATAAACTCTAGATAATATTTCACATGATCAGTTTTTCACAATAAGTTGATGGTGGGTTTTGGACTGTAGCATTCTAAAAGTTCTCTTTCGTTTGTTTTACAGACCCAATATGTCAAAAGGGATATTCAAGAATAAGAGGAACATTGTGTGAAGGTATTTATTGTTGCCTTAACATAAATCAGAGCTTGAATGACAAAAAATGCCAGTGTTTTGATTTAAGTGGTTAATTTAGCATAGAAGATCACTACGCCAAATTCTTACCTTGTGTAGTTCCATTGACTTCATTAGAGTTATGTCAGGGATGAATTTGGTTTCAGTTTGTTTAACATTCCTGCGTACTCACAGTTTATCTCCAAGTACACACTTGCAAATATAGTGTCTACCAGTATAAGGAGATGATTCTCGCTCTTCAAATATTAACTGAGTAACCTATTTGGGCAAAGTATGCACCTTATATATGTTATAAAACATGGCATTATTGATACAGTGGTATGACAAGCCATTACTATGCTTCATAAAAAAAATGTTTAAAGACTGTATTTCACATGAAACGTTTATTTGGTTTGGATTTTTTCTTAACCTTGGCTTTCTTCCATGAAACATTATATGAAATCAAGCATGTTCCAACGTAGTTTCATTGTCTTATTAAAAAAAAAATGTCATCAGGAGTTAAACTTTGGTTAAAGGAAAGGTTAAAGATTTCTGAAATGTGTAGCTTTTTGCTCGGTATGAGATGACTCTATACTATTCTGTGAAAATGGAAGGTCCCACCCTATTTCATGCTCATTTGAATTGATTTGAACCCTTGGACAAGTACTGAGTATTTCCAGAGTATGCAGAAGCTCAGAGAGTCTCAAACTGCTGTGGGTCACCCTGACTGACAACATCTGACATGACACTGCAGTTAAAATATTTTTTAAAAATTACTCCCATATGTAGCTTCCATAAAGAAACATTGTTTTTTCCCTTAACAAAAAATAAAATAAAACAACAACAAAAAAAAAGAGGAACACCCTCACACATATTCTTTGCTTTCCAAATGATGACTGAATACCTTGGCACGTCTGTGCTGCAGACCCACTGTACATAACTTATCTGACCTCAGCAACACTTTCTGGAGTGTGTAAGTGAAAGAAAAGGGGAAAAAAAAAAAAAAGTGGCCCCACCTATCTCTCTTCACAAGGAAAGTCTTAGAACATTTTCAACACTGCTGGGATGGAAAGTTTATCCTTCCAAGATGTAGACATAACTGTTTTCAGCATTTCCTTTACCAGCACTTTGGATTACATCTATTACATGCTTTAATCTTTCTCATTTCAGTGGGACCTGGATAGCCCCAGATTTTTCAGAGTAGTTTCCCCTGCTTTTAACATGCTGAAGCTGTATTTGGGTTTCAACCAATGTAAGCATTTTTCAAGACAGGGGAAGATCTCTAGGAAATTTACTGGCAAGTGAGAGACAGGACAAGGGAGTATGTTTAGTTCCCAAAAGGTGATACTCAGTTCTCCCATACACAGGCCATGTAAAATGAGTAATGGACCTTGTGCAAGGAAATAAGCAAACTTAATTGGCAGCGTTCCTCTAGTTTACGGGTGAGACCTGGAGTTGTCAGCTGGAATATTGCTCACAGGCTGTGAACTGTGTTCCAGTGGTATCTAGGAGTCCACTGGCTTTCCCTCCTGCCTTGTAGTCAATATGGGCCTTTTATTTATAGTATCTGTTCAAGGGCACAGGCCACTGATGTCCACCCCACGTTTATCCTCCACCCTGCTCCATGTGGTTTGAGAGCTGCAGAGTGTGTTCACACCAGTTTTGTCTGGAGGCTTAGCAAGTCCCATCTACCCATTACTCTGTACACGAGTGTTCAGCTGTGGAGTATCAGAGTCATTCTTCTCTCATTTCTTGTTCTTATTCTCTCCTGTCTTAAAAATTGTCATGCTTCATCTTGACAGGGCTATATTTAATGCTGGAAGCTTTTTCCTAAAGGCAGTTGTGAAGTATATACTTTTCACAAAGTCCACTGGTAGGAGGATCCCACACTTAGATTACTAAACGTTTGTTTATGCCCAGGCTAACACAGTTAATCAAATGATCCTTACCTAAAAGTGCTAAATTTTCCATGTAAATATAGAAATATAATATTTATTTAATGAAGTTAAACTCTGTGTGCAGTCATAGTTTATTTTAATCTATATAAAGTTACTGATTGTTGACAAGATCATAGAGCTAGATTTTAAACAGTGTTGTAGTTTCCAGATGTGCAGAGGTCTGCCTGATAAGACACCAACATGAAAAATACAAAAATTAAAAATAAAAAAAAAAAAAAAAAAAATACAGCATAACTTAATCTCATTGGAATAATGCATAATCTCATATTGTCTTTCTTTGCCCATTTGCTTCAAAATTCTGGCCCACAGTGAGTATGAAAATTGATACAATTTTTAAATGCCTCTCCCTTTTTTTTGTCACTTTTGAGTTTGATTTCAATATACATAGGAATGGCAAATAGCAACATATTTTATTTGTAATAGTCTGTAATTAATTGGTTCTGGCTGACTTGCATAAGAAATCCTGAATATTTGGAATTTTTTCAGGTCGTGTAAACTGCTGTGGTTTGGTATTTTATCCTAAAACCCCCAAATGTTCATATTTTTTTCTGATTTGTTCATGTTTAGCATGCTAGTGATTACTTTTATTCACATTTTGTTTGGAAATAGATGTAAATGAGTGTGAGGTGTTTCCTGGAGTCTGTACAAATGGGCAGTGTGTCAATACCTTGGGATCGTTTGTTTGCCAGTGCCCCAATGGAATGACTTTAGATGCTTCTGGACGAACATGTCTTGGTAGGTATTAATTCCATTTGCAGGTCTACTAGGGAAGAGCAAATCTGTGTGGTAAGTAATGTTCGCACTGCGTGTTTTCTTACAAGTAAGGAAAATTATTTTTGTCCACATAAGTGATTTTCAAATGGAATCAATCAGGGACATGAACTTAGTTCAACTGGAATATGAACAGATTCCAATGGCAGTAGCTAAAGCCCATCACCATCTGCTAGCTGGTGAATAACGTTGATTTAGTTCCAGATTGTCCGTCTGGCAAATCCATACCAGATCATCTGTGCTCTTGGCACTCTTCGTTCGCAGCCCCACTGAAATCGCCAAGGTTGGAAGAGCAGAGGGGGGACACCATTGTGGGCTGGGACTCAGGTGTCTGAGGAGGGATGGCATTTTCCCAGCCACATTGAACACCTTAATGGGGGGTGCAAAGAATATCAAAGTTTTGTATGCTGTCCAGCCAGAGCACCTTTGTCCCTTTATGACAGTAAATGCTGAAGATTTGTCTCAGAATAGCTTGTAGTAATTGAAAGGCCTTATTTAGTATGGTAAGCTGGAATGCTTAATATGCTTTTCTGATCCAGAATTTACTTAGTGTTGAGCACCGTTTTGCAGAATGGTGCTTTAAGCTTACTTCAGCTTTTAATTTCTGAGTTTAGGGTTAATATTTTGCTGTTAAAAATTATGCAGTGGGCTTGGTATGCTCCTCTGAGTCCACAAAACCATGGAGCAAACTGTCCTGTGAAGGGATTCTGGAAACGGATTCCTCTGCAGTGAACTAAATTTTCTCTTTCTCTCTCAACATACTGTTCAATTTCCCAACAGACATTCGCTTGGAGAGTTGCTACCTGCAACACGAAGATGAGCAGTGCACCTCACAGATCCCAGGTCGACACCGCATGGATGCTTGCTGCTGTTCAGTGGGGGCAGCCTGGGGCTTTGAGTGTGAGGAGTGTCCTCTGAAGGGATCACCTGAGTTTGAAGCTCTTTGTCCAAGAGGATCTGGGTTCTCTACGAAAATAGAGATAACTGGGAAACCTTTCTCTAAAGGTATATGATCCATTTGTGCTTCATTGCCAGCAAATCCTGCTGGCTTTTCCTTTTACTCTTCCCTCGAACAATTCCTGTGGGCTTGAAGATTTCAGTGGTAGTCAGGCACTTCACTCACCTTAAGGCATCTTTGAAAATCCAATTAGATTTCATGGAAATTAAGGCCAGAATAAAACACAAGGTAATTTAGTCTGTGTCACAGATCATTAAATACCATCTAATGCCTCAGCCTCAAAACACTGAATCTGTGGCTCTACTAGAGAGGTTAAATTCTGTGCCTCCTGTGTTGCATCTAATAGCACCTCTGGTTGATGGAAGAGCTTTGAAAACCTGGCACGTCTTAGTACAAGAACTAGATCAAACTGAGCTGTCAGCAGTGGATGTATTGAAAGAGCAATCCATTTTACCTGTGCAGCGTGCAATAACTTTAATTCTACTGTGGAGCAAGCCAGGGAGGGTGAATAACTTTTGAAATTTCTTGTGGAGCTGCTTGGAGAAGTAGAAAAAAAATGTTTCCAGGATGATAGCTCAAATCAACAGAATTTAATTTACTGTAAACCAAGTCTTGTTATGACTGTTGTTGGTAAACTTTCAGCATTAAATGGGAGTCACACAGTGACACCTTAGAATCGTGTGCTGAAACCTGTCTTTGCAGGGTTACCAGTGGGATTAAGGTGGACAATGTCAGAAAAACAAATAATGGATGTGAATACGTTTATACAGAAAGCCAGTTACTCCAAAACTAAACATTATGAAGTCTGAAAGGAGGAAAAAATATAGATGAATGGCAATTGCTGTTGTTAGTTTCAGCCTTAGTTTTATAAACAGTTACTAAACCATTAATTATCCATAAAGTGACATGTGCTTTTATTTATGCTTGTTATGTTTTCTGTGACTCATGGAAATCACATTTTTTCTCAGAAACCAGAAAACAGAGTGGTTTTTTTGAAAGCTCCCTTTGCCCTTGTAGGCTTGATCCTCTGTCCACTGAAATCTTCCTGTTGACTTCAGTGAGCTGCAGATCAGATCCTGCAGGACAAAAGGGGAGACTAATACCATTTTATGGCAGAAAGTGCTCTTGGCAGTTCCAAGAGTGCCCACATTGTTGGTTAGGTGGAAGTCAGTATCAGTTTAGTTACATTTTTCCCAAGAGGAGAGGTCATTATCATGAGAGAATGACCTCTGAAGTCAGCGTTGTTCTTTTATGTGCTGCTTTTGTATGAAGTGATAACATCATTATGTCCTTACTGTTTTATTTGTAGATATCAACGAATGCAAAATGGTCCCCAGTCTTTGTACCCATGGAAAATGCAGAAATACCATTGGCAGTTTTAAGTGTAGATGTGACAGTGGATTTGCCCTTGATTCTGAGGAGAGGAATTGCACAGGTAAACTGCGTGGATGTAGCTCTCATAACTTTGATTTGAAAAGGAAAAACTGAACTGCCTTGAAAATACTGTGAACGTGTTTTATGTTACAGATATTGATGAATGCCGCATCTCTCCTGATCTCTGTGGCCAAGGCATCTGTGTCAATACTCCTGGAGACTTTGAATGTGAATGTTTTGAAGGCTACGAAAGTGGATTTATGATGATGAAAAACTGCATGGGTATGTCTTTAATAGAACATAGATGTGCAATAGCATGCTATGTGCGAGTATGCTAGGCATGGTTTATTTTGGGTTTTTTTTGAAGGTTTGATTGCACCTGGGTTTAGGTCCCTCTCATTTTCTGAGTCTTATTAAAGCTCACTGTAACTTTGTTTCTACCCCACATGTGAAATTCCTGCTTCTGCCGGATGCCAAAGCAAAAATGAGCAAGGGTCAGGATTTTAGGATGTTAACTTTATCCCCGCAATCCCCATTTTGCTATGTGGGAAACCATACTGAACTTGGGAGTTAGATTAGATTAAAATTTAGAAGAAGTCTTTTTGAATTTATTTTTTTTTTTTAGCTACACTGTGGTGACTAGGAAGGTCTCCAGAGCTGATATGGCAGATGGGTCTGTGATGGGTAGCAGGCTGTGGGGAGGGGCAGGCTGCTGCTGTGGCAGTGCTGGCTCCTGCAGTGATGTGTCCTCCCTTTTTCCCACAGACATCGATGAGTGTCAACGCAATCCCCTTCTCTGCCGAGGTGGCACCTGCATCAACACTGAGGGAAGCTTTCGGTGTGATTGTCCTCCAGGCCATCAGATATCACCAAATATCTCTGCATGTATAGGTGAGACGTGCAGGCAAAACCAGTATTGTGCACGGCTTTTTATACTGCTCTTTAGCTGCGTGTGCATTTATGATGTTTGCTTTAGGATCGTTTTCATTCAAACACATTCCTCTTTTTTCTTTTGCAACAGACATTAATGAATGTGACCTAAGCACCAATCTGTGCCGAAATGGACGTTGTGTCAACCTGATTGGAAAGTATCAGTGTGCTTGCAACCCTGGGTATCAGTCCACACCTGACAAGTTATACTGTGTTGGTAAGGACAAAAATCTACACGGGATCTCTAGGGAATAGGAAAGATAAAACACAAGTAATTGTTTCAGTTTTAGTAGTTATATGAAGACATGTTTAATTGTGATTCAAAAATCTAGCATAGTCTGTCAAAATAGTATGCAAAAAACCCCAAAATGTGCTTATCCGTTGTTGTGAGGAATGAATGAAATTATGGCAGCACTGCTGTTAACTGTGTAATAGTTTATTTTCTCTAGTAAATCAATAATGATGCATAAAATAGCATACTATTTTAAATTACCTAAGACTTCAGACTTTGATAATTAAGAGGGAATACCTTGTTAAATCCTGAGTTTTTTAATTAAAAGCATCATTACTGACAGACCAAAGAGTAGAATCATGTGGTTCAATTGAATTTTTCCTAATTTGATCTGTAGTTGTCTCAAACACAGGGCCTTTCCAAAACTGTTTCTTTAAAGCCACATTTTGCAAATGACATTTAGCTTAAATCACATATTGTGCGCTCCTTTATGTGTATATATTCTATTGTGCCATGGAAATACATGAAAAATCCACTGGCTTTAATTCTGCCTAGTAGATAATTTTTTCCCTTGATCATTACAAAAGCTTTGTTGCCTTCATGATACTGTGGTAACCCAACAGTGGTATTTTTATATGTAGAACTGCAGAGGTATTTGTATATGCAGTCAGATATTACCATATCTTTCCCTCCTGGTTTGCCTGACATCCATTCCCGTGCCTATATTTGCAAACACTTGAATGTTCAAGGACTGTGCAAATATTGTGTAGATTCTTTATTAATGCTGTTCCGGAAAGCTGACTCAAAGTGTGTCCTTGAAATGTGCTTTAAAGTAGAAGATATTGTGGATTTTAACTGTCATTTTCTCCTTTTTAGATATTGATGAGTGCAGTATAATGAATGGTGGCTGTGAGAACTTCTGTACAAACTCGGAGGGCAGTTACGAATGTAGCTGTAAACAAGGTTTTGCACTCATGCCAGACCACAGGACATGCACTGGTAAGGGGAGATTTTGGGAATTTTTCTGCTGGAAGAGCTTATTTCAATAGTTTAAAAATGTACCTTCTATTTAAGATTAAAGCTATTGCAACAAATATACTTTTAAAAAAAAAAAAAAGTAATGCAAGGAGAGTGGAGTTCTTTTTTATAAAATAAACATCTCCAAAGTATCGGAATTGGACAAGTGCAGACTGAATTGAAGGGAATTGATTCTTCATCATTTCAGAAAATGTACAAGTTGGTTCAGTTTTGTAACAAAAAGCTGTACATTTTTCAGTAGGAGATAAATTTTCTCCCTTAAGGTATTATATTAGATCCAAATCCCAAATGTGTTGAAGTCAATGGAAAGAATCATCATAAACAGAAGCCAGAATGCTCTGCATGTGCAGTGTATGTCCGAAATGCTAGAGAAGGAGCTGACTGCCCCGTTCTGTGGTTGTGTGGTATCTGCTCTTAAGCAAGCAACAAAATTCCTATTTTTAATTCTTTGTTTAGTCAAAAGCAAGTATGCTGTATTACTTCAAAACTGAATGACTTTCAGACAAAACGAAATCTGAATAGTATGAATCTTTCTTAGGAAACTCTAAACAGGGTTTGTGAGAAAATTTTCAGGGCGAGTGTTCTCCTTTGGGAGTCTGGGAGTCATAATCCCAGTAAGTGAATTGTGCTCAGTGATTTCCACATAGGTTACTGGAAAGATAATTCAACCCTACTCTTCTCTTACTTCTTGCTGCACAACCAGTGGCCTGCTGAGGCATGTGAATATTTGCCAGCTGTTTGCCAATTCCATCCAAGAGCTCCTTGAAGAGCATAAGAAATATAACAGAATTAATCTCTTGGACTAGAATTGCCTTTATAGTTGAACATTGGAGAGTGTTCTATACTGACTTAATAGAGAGAGTTCACATTTAGAATTTGTAAATATTTATAGACCTCTGATGAGGGTCTCGGTTCCCCTGAGGCCACTTGCTACCATTCCAAAGGATAGAACAGCCTTAAAGCATAGTTAAATGTAGTTTGCCCCCCACATTGTAATTTACACTGTCAGAAAGATGTAAAGTACCCAATCTTCAGCAAGCATCAGAACCTTGTTCAAAGAAAGAAATCAACTAGAAAAAGTGCAGATTTGACTGACTGATGTTACAAACCCTAAAATACGTAATTAGAAATAATTTGTCTTCAGGTCAAGTTTCTAGAAAAGGCAAGTTCGTTCAAAAAAACTTGCCCCATTGATGTTTGGGGCACTTTTTGAATGCAAAAATAAACCCAGTTGGTCAAAATTGTGCCTCAGCCAAAATCTAAACCCAAGGGACAGGATTAGAGGGACATGAGAGGAGGGGAGCAGGGATCTCTGAGCCACTTTTCTGTTTTCATCTTCTTGGCTTGACTGGGGACCAAATAACCCAAGTGTATACTTGGACAGTCGTAGGGATCTCAAGTCTACTGGCTCAAAACTGTCCTGTGCTTAACTCCTGCTTACCCTTAGACATCTCTAAACGCAGAAGCAGAGCGGATTACTTACAGCACCATCCTGCTTATTAAACTAAAAACTTTGGAATAGAAAACTGTCGTCTTTCCCTTCTCAAAGAGAGAGGAAGCAGTTGCCTTTGCTGTGGGGAGGGGATGCATTGTCAGTGGTTTTGTCCTCACTTGACCATAAACATGTCTGTAGAAGTTTGTAGTCAGATCTTACCAGCGTGAGGAATTAAAAAAGCATTTGATCTTAGCTGTGAATTTTTGCATGTTTATATACAGCCTTGACTCTGAAAAATAGAATTTCATTCATAGGCCAGCCAGTAATAGCTATTAGCTATTCATTGTCATACTCTCCTCTAAGAAAGACTTGAATGCAGTAGCCAACACATAAAAAGGTTTAAGGAGCAGAAACAGCAGACACCTTTGGATGTCCAGTCAAACTCTACCTAACAAAATATCTAGAGATGTGAGGGGTTGCCTTTACCAGTATCTAAAAATGCTGCTGCCTTCTCTTGAAGAGTTGTTAATTACATAGATAAACATCTGGTAAACATTCAAAATATGCATGGTGAAATTTTGTCTCTGCCCAAACTAAGTGAGAAATGAGGAAAAAAATGTTTTTTGTGACATTTTCTGCTCGTTGCATTGCATATCTGGTTTTGCTGTGTTGGATGTTTGTGCAGGGTACAAGATACAGTAACACTGTGACCTGAGTATGTGAAACACCTATTTTACATTTTCAGTTTGCTCTCTGTGTGAACGTGTCTTTTATCTTTAACATCACACAAAGCTGGAAGCCATTATGGAATATATTTCTTGATAATTGAGCTGGTAAGAATGCCATTCAGTTCAGTAGTAGGTCAGGTTTGAATTGGTGAGGTTATGCATAAATAATCAGCTCAATTAGGGGAAACAACAGTTTCTTTGTCAGCTGATTTTCCTCCAACTGTGAAATCAGTACAGTGACAGGTTAGTAAATAAAGTTCTTTATATCTGTCATTATTATCCTCATTTCTAGAGCTTAATTTTGCATGTTAATTCAAATACCATTCCAAATTAAGATTTTCAGGCTAATGTCCATGCCAACGTTATTTGCTTGTTAAGATGAACAGGGACTGCTCAGCCTTCCTCCTTGCAGAAGTTGTGTTTCCACACAAACACTAGCTGCTAGAAATACAGAAGAATAATGAATGTAATATTTTAAGTTAAAATGAGTTCATTTTCTGCAGCTGCATCATTACTGCAATCCACAATAGACTGGTCTGATAATGAGTTACACCCTTTCTCTTGGAGGGGGTTCCTGAATCTTGTCCTTTTTGTGCTGGTTTTTTTCCCATGGTATCACTAGGCAGAGTTTCTGATTTTTGCTCTTGTTGGTCTGTGTTGGTGCTGACACAGGGAGATTCTAGGGATTTTTACAAGGAACGCTAATATAACCCCAGGGACTCTGAAAGATTCCAGACCTTAGCATGGCTGCGTTAATATAATAAAGTGTCTGCTTCTGCAGCTTGGCCCAAATCAGTGATGGCCAATTTCATGAATTGAGAGAACAACTTACATGCTAGAGGTTGTAACTGTATGTCTGGCCTGGCCAGTCAGCTGAAATGCTAAAAAGCCCCATAAAATCTCTTAGTGAAATAAATGTGTGTACTGTAATTATTCCCATCATGAGTTTGACTCTGTGTTTCCAATTTGTCACCACCCTTGAGACCTGTAGAGGTATTCTGTATGCATGATGGCTTTTTTAAGCTCTGTAAAGTCCAGTATCTTTATTGTTGAATTTGACTTCAGAGCTTACGTTGACTTCAACAATGATGGATTGTATCCAAGAACCTCCAGTTGTATATGACCATGTGATGTGACAAAGGTTCTGTTGCTTCTTTTTTTTTTTTTTCTGTCAATGACTTTTTTACCTACAAAGTTGTTCCCATGAGAGTCAGAGGTGAATGTTTGCCCCTGACTTTAGCTGGAGATGAGGAGCTGACTCATCAGGACAATTTTGCAATATATTGCTCAGTTATTTGCAAACTGAAGGATTCATGTTAATCAGATCATTAAACTGTTTGCTTGCCATGGTTATGGTTAGTTGCATTACGTAAAGGTGGCATATTTTAATCTGATTTTTCCCTGTAGATATCGATGAGTGTGAAGACAATCCTAACATCTGTGATGGAGGCCAGTGTACAAACATCCCAGGAGAATACAGGTGTCTTTGCTATGATGGATTCATGGCATCTGAAGACATGAAGACTTGCATAGGTAAGTGAAAGGACATATATTCCAATTTGGATTAACTAGGAAAATTTATTTATTAAGGCACTTTTTCCAAGTAGGTAGACAATGACATTTAAAGAGTATTGCTCTTATGCCCTAATTTTGGCACCTGACTATTGCACAAGCTATGTTTATCAAATGCAGATGTAATCTCTATACATCCCGTAGACTGGGATGCAAACGTGATGATCTATAGCATTGTATCTTTGGGTCATCTTCCAGTGAGGTTTTTATGCAGCTCAGATGAAACAGTGATTGCAGAAAGGAAGTGCTGGTGGATGATGCCATGGAAAATTTCTAGCAAGATAAATCACCAGTGCTGATTTAAACTTGTCTCTAAGACAAAACTATTCACGATTGCTGTACCTTGATAGAACTAAGTCATGAAACAGCATATCTCCAAAACCAAATTTTCACATTTAAATTAAAAATCTGGAGCACATTTGAGGAGGACTGTTTGTAAAAAAACTAGATAATATATGTATGCATATATATATATATATATATGTATGTATGTATATATATATATGTATGTATGTATATGTATATATACACACACATGTGTACTTAGAAAGCATCAGTAAATAGTCATAGTTATTCTTTGCATAATATGCTGAATCTTAGTCTCTATTTTTAAGGAAAGTTGTAATTAAGGGTATGTTAACCTAGATATGATGATAATATAGCACAATACAGCAGTGTTAAATCAGATCTCAAAATGTACACTAGGTAAAGAATAACTGACATAAGCAGTTTCCTCTCTGAATATGTAGACCCATATTTGTACCAAAAGATCATGTCTCAAGAGATTTTGCCAGCTACTTTCTAAGAATTGTATTTAATAAATCTTAATTCATGTTTTTTTTAGATGTTAATGAGTGTGATTTGCATCCAAACATCTGTCTGAGTGGAACTTGTGAGAATACAAAAGGCTCATTTATCTGTCACTGTGATATGGGATATTCAGGCAAGAAAGGCACAACTGGTTGCACAGGTATGTTTTAAAGTTTAATTATTAACTTTTAGCTAATGAGTCTGCATGCCCTTTTTTTTTTTTTTAGTGTTCAAAACTTCCTGTCACTGCAATTCTTTTCACTTATTTGTGCTAAATATTGTATCTCTTACCCAAATTTGCTGAGCTTGTGTTCTGCTGAACTTCGGCGGCATAGCATTCGGCCTGATGAGGCTTCTGCTGCAACAAGTGACAAACTGTCCGCTGGGAACAAAATTGGGCTTATTAGTGCATTGTTGTTGGTCTAAGAGAACAGAAAATACCATTGCCTGTAACTTGACAGGCTCCTGAGGACCTCGGTGCATTTGGGTTAGTTAATTGCGTACTACACATGCAAATAACAGGTATCTGTTCCAAGCATTATTTTGGCAAACACAGATGGCTTGAAATATGTGCTAAAATATATTTTCATTTCTTGTAAAGTGGCAGCAATACAGCTACTCAACTACATTGTATCAGCAAAATCAGAATTTGCATTATTTCATGTATTGCCAGCAAGCAGAAATGAGATTCAAATATACAGGCTCCAAGGGCTTGATATTAATAATCCTAGTGCTGGTGTCTCAAGCCAAGGTGTTGAGAGTCTTAGGCTTTGCCCAAATATGAATGCAAACATATGTTTAATATAATTTTTAATGTAGACTTAGGGTAAACACATTTCTGGCAATGTCTTCGAGACAAACTTTTATTCCTAGTCTGCCCTTATTGTACAGAGTTAATAATACACTTCTGTAAGTGCCCCAAATATATGAAGCTGTTTTTTTACAGCTCTCACAGAACAGTCTCAGAGCTGGGTTGTACTTTGCGTATTGCGCTGTAGACAAACAGTTGTGCATTAGTAACAGCTGCCTTTGACTTACATACGAACTGATCTAAATCCAAGAAATCCCTAATTGTACCCCGTAGACCAACATTTCAATGTTCTTTGTTTCTGTGCTAAATTACATGAAGATCTTCCGTACTCTAGACCTGAAAACTCCCGTGCTGATCAGTTACTCATGGCACAGCTCTCACTCCCAGAGTAAGGAGCAATCAGGGAAGATGAAGCAACTAGTAGAAGTCAAAAGAAAGTTCATGGAGACAGGGGAGGAATCTGAGGTATGGCTTCTGGGGAAGTGCCTGCAAATAGCCACCATTTTGGCATCATGTGATGCTGGGTAGTGGCAAATGTCCCAAGCATACTTTTTCATTAATGGAGAGGCAGGGAAATCCCTCCCTTCTGGTCCCAACCCAGCCCAGCCCTCTGGATGGATGCTGTCTGCCATGTGGGCTCTTCCCACCGCCTTGTACGTCTTTATCTGTCCCTCAGCCCATCCTCTGCTGCTTTTGGCTATATGCCAGTGTCCCAGGGAGGATGGCACTCACCAGGAAAATGGCCAGGACACCTTAATTAGAAGAGATACCATAGAGAGGCTCAGTAATTTGAAAGAGGCTGGTAGTCTAAGACAAAAATGTGTGAAGTATCAGTTATGCTCTTACAGATGAGGTGGGACCATACTCACGTCACCAAAACCTTTTAGATTTAAATAAGAGGGAGGAAGCAAAGCAGGAACTTTCTAGGTTGGTTTTATGCTGAAGAAACTGTGTGGATACAGGTTCTGTTGTGACTACAACGTGCAGGTTCCCACATTCTGTTTATTAAGAAGTCTGATGCACTGGTGGAGATCTCTGAATTCCCCACCTCATGTTTGCACAGTATTAGAACAGAGCTGAAGCTCCCAGGCTCAGGTACTGCCAACCATGAGAGCATCCTTTAGGACTTCTTCTGGAGGGACATTGCCAACTACACCTTGACCCCAGGATTCAATTCCTGACTTACAGACAGCTCAAAAGTATCCACAGTTTTTAGGATCTCCAGTCGAAAAAAATAACAAAAATGTGTACAGTGCTTTGAATGGGAGGTTCTCTGTTTCACGAGAACAACCAAATAATGTCCTCTGGGTTCTGTTACAATTTTGTCTAAATATTTCAGCTCCCCCGTCATTACTGATTATTTCCATTTTAACAAATAAACATGGGGTTTTTTTCTCCCCAATCATTTAACAGTATTCAGAATCCACCCACTGCCTTACATTCCCATCCCACACAGATGTTAGTTCCCCCCCTCCTTGGTTCTCAGTAAGAATGTGGACAGAGTTTAGTAACAAAATCATAATTTATAAAAAATTATGCAAAAATATACATTGTAGATGCAGGTTTCCTAGGCAAATTGCTACAAATGGTTTAATTTCCATTCACAAGGCAAACTGTGGTAAGACTGACTTAGAGCAGTTCATTTTAGATTTTTCTCGGCAGGCGGTGGTACATTGCCCTAGAGAGAAGTGCAAAGTTTTCCTGTATCCTGGTTCTAGATTACCCAGCTTTATGACAAATATCTTTTCTCTGCTTTTTCTGTCAGTAAAGTATACATGTACTTGTGCAGAGATGAAATCCTGTATTGGCACTTGCATTTGTACTTTGTGATTCATCACCACTCTGGAGTATTGCCTGTAAATTTGCAATATTTCATTGTTGATGTAGAGCCTTAGATTTACTTGCTCTGATATTTTCACAGAGGAACAAATTCTTCTCCGACTTTCTCCCATCCATCCTTGCCAGTTATGGCTGTGTGTGCAGCCCTCCTCTTTGCTCCTGGTGGAGCTGTGCTTGCACGGGCTTAGGGCTCCTTTCACAAAGTCAGAGGGGGACTTGGGCAGGAGTTGCCCGGGATGGCCATCAGATCAAAAATAAATGTGCTTTAAAAGTCAACTGGATTTCTCCACAGCAGGCTCAGGGAGTTGGAGGGCTGAGAGCAGGCTCTGACTCTGCAAGGGCTGTGCTGGTGCCTTTTGGAGAAAGGCTAATGGAAGATGTTCAGCTGTGGCCTTAGTCTGGGGTGTGAGTTAGAGAGTTGGATTTTATTACTTGCTGTCATCTAGTAATGATGATGATAGTGGATGAAGGAGTGAGTGAGTGCACACTGCGTACTTGCATGGCTGATAATAACATAGTTATAAAGAAAAGTTCACCTGGTACCATGAAAAGAAGAGGTGAGCCCTGTCGTTTGCCCTCAGAAATAGCTTTATAATGTTTTGTGGGTTGTATAATGTGCTTGCCTCTTTTCCCTGCCTTTGGCTTCTGGCCATGAATAATACATTGTGTTTCAGCCTTGATGGCAAAGGAGAGTTCTGGTATCAGTGAAACAAATACATTTCCCCTTATGAATCTGGGAGCTGGCTATGTCAGGCCAAATACCAGAAGATAATAATATTAAGATGCCGCCCGCCAAATGGGGGTATTACAGAAGGAGCGTGTTGCGAGCAGGCATCTGTCCAGCAATAACATGCTGCGCCCCAGGCTGATGACGTAAGGATGGATAGCACACAAGAGCTGAACTGCCCCATGTGAAACTCCAAGAGGTGTCCACGGTGCACTATGCTGAATAAAATCCCAGTGATTCCAAAAGAGAAAACAATTTTACAGGTATAGAGATAAGAAGAGGGAAATTTTTCCATATATTTTCCTACTTGTGTGAGCACTAAGTTGAATTTCAGAGTCTTCTCCCTCTGAAAAGCATTCCCTTTTACCTACCTGATTACATGGGCAGTGACCCAGGAGGAGGAAATGCCTTGTGACTTCCACCAGACGACTGGCCCTGTGGGAATCAGGCCCAGGCTTGAAATACCAGTGAAACGTCAGTGCCATAAAATGCACAGATACTCAGAGAGTGCCAAAAAAATGAAAAAGTCAGAAAATGTTTAAGGGATTTGCATAATTCCTGACAAACAGTACAGATTTATAGGTGGCGTCTGAATTAAATTGACACTTTGCTAAGAATCCTTATAAACTATTGAAGCCCCCAGGAAACCTAACAGAAAACATAAATGCTACACAGAGTATCTCGAGGATTTCATGCCCTGTGATGAACGTGTGAATTTTCATGGGTTAATGTTCACTCTCATTCTGTTCAAACTGAGAAGAATGACTTGGGTGTTTCCAGAGTGGAGGTGAGAATAGTGCTTTATCCCCATGCTCCTCTCTGGCTGTGTTTAATGATCCACTTCCAAACTGCACAGGGATGCGCTGTGCAGATACTGTCTAGCTGTTTCTTTCCTTTGGTTGCCACGTTTGCAAGCATAGTGCCAACATGACAGGTATATATGATGTGTATTTTTGCTGCACATCCACATCCCTAAAAATTTGTGCCTCCGTGATTAATGGGAGAGACACTATATTAATTGCCAAAGGCTTGAGAGAAAAAAATATTTGTTCAGGGAAGAGAACTGAAGGAGCCAACAAAACAGGGTGACTGACAGGGTTTTTTTCCCCATAGTGCTTGGGATTATTATGAAGTCAGATCTGCATATTATTTATCATACGTATTCTCATCTGTTGTAGGCAGACAACTCCCTTAGCATTAATGGGAGTTGTGCAATTACAAAGCTGAGAACATGTGTGCAGCAGGGCTGGGGCACAATGGGACCGGCTGAGGATGTAGTGTCAGTCTCGGATTGGAATGTCTTTATTTTCCTTGGCTTGTCACAGCCTCATACTCGAGGCAGAAGAAGGTTGATATAAATCAGTGACTCACTTCTTTACTCTTTAGTGAAAATCCCCCTGAAGTCAATGGGAATAAGCCATCATTGTGTGAAACCCTGACTTGAGTACTGTCCTTCTGTATGCTCTTTGGGTCATGATACCTTCACTCAGACCAAGTAATGCCTTTCTTTTCAAACAATTATATGAAAATATTTGGAGTATTTGAAAAGTTTAGTACTGTTTGTACTGCCATGCAGACAGCACAATCTGGACTCTTGCTCTTATTAAAGATATTTATGTTAAGTTAATTTTTCCCCTACAGAGCTCAACTTCTTTTTGTTTCGTTCTGTGAAGCCATAATTCAATACTTATGGCAACATAAATCCATATTAAGCTCCAGTATAAGCAGGCATAAATTCCATTGATTTCGCTGCCCCGTTTTACAGAGGACCGTGTTTGGTCTGAGATCTTTTTTTGCCTTGGAAATAATTGCAATGCAATAAATTTAGGCTTATAACTCAGCTGTGCAGTGAAAGGAGAGAATAGGGATTATAGCAAAGCAACATCTGAGTTAAATGCAGATAGCTTTGAAAAGAAGTAAAATCTGGGATGAAGCCAGTGATGGTATTTTGTATGCTTTCATCAGCTTTAATTTAAGTATCCGAAAGCCTTTCTATGCATCAGTGAAGTAAGCCCTGCAATGCCTTGTCCCTGTAAAGGTAGATGGCATTAGGAATTATATTTTGCATTCCCTATTTGATCTTTACCCAGACAAAAAAAGCATTGAAATCTATTGAAAAATTTTCCTGGAAAAAAGCTGAGGGTTACAGGATTTTGTTCAAAGCAAGTAAAATGACATTTCAGTGGATGATCTCTGAGAAAGTTGATGCCATTATAGATATCCATGTTTGGGTATAGATTTCTGCTCACAACTCTCATCCTGCAGAAGATTCCAAGCTGCTTTAGTGCATGTGTCAAACAGCTGATGGGGGAACAGGTGCCCACTGCGAGGCTACCAGTGTCATGGTGCTGCTGTGCCCCCAGGAGATGTAAATGGGGGCTCTCGGGTGCAAGGTGTTAGCGGGTCAGCGTGAGGTGGGATGGGATGGAGTCAGCAGTCACTTAACATAGAGTTGAAAATTTGTTTTAGGTTGCCTTAAATTGGAGCCTGAGCATGACTTCATTGCGGTGTAGCTGTTGCATGCAAGTTTCTGTTTGTGTTTGCTGGTGGTTTAAAAAAAAATCTTGGCAGAAATCTCTCAACTGATGATGTTGTTTCTGGTGTTTTGTTGTGCTCTGCAGGGTATAAGGAAGCATGTGATTGTCTGTATGTTTCAAAGCATCAAATAATCAAATACAGCGCAATCTCAGTGTTAGCAGTGGGGTAACAGTTTGGGTTTTAAAATCCTGTAAAAGTTAAAATATGGAGTGTTTGCTTCAGCTTTTTTATGTCAGTCTATGTTGTAGCTGACCTCTCAAAATTCCTTCTAGTCTTTCCCTTCAGTCCAAGCCAAAATGTTTTTTTCTTTTTTCTGACCACCCTTTAGATTTTTGACAGACATTAGTTTCCTGTTCAGGGTGATGTTATCTTAATATGAGTTTCTGCACATGCTAAAGGCAAATACACTCCAAAATTATCTGCTCCTGACCCTTTTTTAAGTTTAAAAAGTGTCCATTTGCATGTGTTCAGGCTTGTTGGTGAAATCAACATTCATTAATAGTAGATTCCAGCTGCCAGATTTAGATCTCTAACTGGACGTCAGCATTCAGATTATGGGAATACTCGGGTCTGGGGTTTTGATTCAGAGCAATGCCTCATTTAGAAAGAAACCCAGAAAAGTAAGATTAGATGCAGTTCTGCTATACAGACTTTAAAAAAACCCCAAACAAACACAAAACCAACGAACCAAAACCAGCCCTCAAACCAGCAGTGGGTTTGGGTAATTTCTGGACTTGAGTATTTAATTGTGGGATGACAGATGTATGTTGTCTGCTTCTCAGAGTCATGTGTAGCCTTTGTGACAAGACAAAATATATGTACAGGGCATAGAGAAAGGGCACAAAACCTTTTGTCTAAAGAAGGGTGGGCAGAAAAAGCTAAGAAAGGCTTCTAAAGGAAATGGTTAAGATGATACTTGGACACTTTCTCCAATGGCTCCACTCTCTTGCCCTCTTTAAAGAGCTGATTGTTTTTAGGTACAATGGTAGGGAAACTGAAGTCTGTGGTTTGGGGGCTGAGAACCTCAAAGGTTGTTACATGGTTGATGGCTGATGCCTTTTCTTAATCATCTTCTCAAGAGGAGAATGAGCTACATTTTTGTGTGTGCAATCATGCAGCTTGTGAGCTTGTTTTCCCTTTCCATCAGCTATTGTACAGAATGAGATGATTTGGCTAACTGCAACAGCAAAGGCACCTGGGAGGGCTGAAAAAATTGCTATAAATATTAAGTGGTTTGATGTGAGTTCTAGATAATTTACATCCTGCATGGAAGTAAAGCACAGTTAGAGCGAGCTTGGTTACAAAAAACATTGTAAAATCCATAGCTTGGATGTGTAAGAAAATTCCTGCCAGTTTTGTTTTAGTTACCAGTAGTAATTTCTGAAAACTTTGCCTCTGAGTTTATACATTCTTCAAGTACTTATATGGGTCATTAATACTGTTTGGTGACAAGGAAGAATGGAATTCAGTTTGGGTTTTTTGGTCTATACATTCTGACATTGCCAGACAATGCCCGAGAAAGAAAATAAGGTGAAAATAGCAAGTACTGCAATAGAATGTGCTGGCATGAATGCATATGTAGAAGGTTGGATGACTTGCCTGGTGTCTCCACCAAGTATGCTGACTTTTTTCCACTGTGTTAAGTTTCCTGAGTTCTTAATAAACTGCATGCCTGATGAGCTTTGGGTCCATCAGCTGTCATGTTAAATACAGTGGTACAGCCCATCCTCCACCTTCCACAGAGTCTCTGGCAAGACAGAACCTGGCTTCATTGACTGCCTAGGGATAATGGTAGGAGGAGTTTGCAGGTGGTGCCCAGCTGGTGCTCCTCAGCATCCTTGCAGATATGGTGGGGGCTGTGGGAGTGTTGCATTCTAGGAGTCCCTGGCAGCAGAGTTTCCCCTGAGACCTTTTAGCAAACCATGTGATGTAGAGACACCCGAGTCCTGCTTTGAGGACCCCAGGGTGGGCTCATGGGAAAGTTGCCTTCTTTCCCTCAGTCACGTTAAGGTATGGTCAAGATGCCAGCCAGTACACTGTAATGGTATGTCTCTATTGTCAGGGGAGCACAGGTTTTCACACCATGTCATCAGATTTGACCAACAACCTCTTGCAAAGCTGCTTGACAAACACACATGCCAGGATGCTGACGGCCTGCGTTGGTAATCTTGGTGGATGCTAGTCCTCTTCTTCCCAAAGGCTGTGGCCTCACATTCTGAGCACACCAGTTAGAAAAAGAAGGGAAACTTGAGTTACGGTTTTCCTCCTTGAATCTAAAAGTTACCAGGCGTTGGGGTGAACTGCAGGAGTACTGCTTTGTATGCCTATCAGAAAAATAGATTGCAGGGCAGCGCATGTTTGAAATACTCTACGTGCTTCTTTGCTTTTCTCTGTTGTGATTTTATTTCTCTTCTGCTTCATTTTTAAATGTCATGTTATAAAGAAATGCAGGCTTGCTTTCACGTTCACATTGTCTTTCTTGAGAAATTCCAGTATCGGTTACCTGGATATGAGAAAGTTTGATCCATGAGCTCTTCAAACATCTCTTGTGTTTTTACAGATATCAATGAGTGTGAAATTGGAGCCCATAACTGTGATAGACATGCCATATGTACAAACACAGCAGGAAGTTTCAAATGTAGCTGCAGCCCTGGCTGGATTGGAAATGGTATCAAGTGCACAGGTGAGAGTCATATGTATTTGTATTTATTTGTAAGGTCAGACCAAAACTGGGTCCTAGCGATTCTGAAAAAATCAGTACCACGCCTACAAATTGGGAAGACAAACGTACATCAAGCTTGTTAGGTCACTTTGACATTATCTGTTGGAGGACAAATTCTCTGCCATGGTAACTGAAATCAGCATTATCTTAATGTTTGCCTTGAGATGGTGAAAACAGACTGGACCATGGAGAGAAGAGATGCTGGTGCTCCCTTTGAAAAAAAAAAAAAAAAAAGATACAGGTCTTAGTTTTGAGTGTGCCCTGCAGCTTCCTCATTCGCAGTTACCTTGTCAGACTACTTTGTTGGGCTGCGAATAAGCTGTGTCTGCCTTTCCAGTCAGATGACACCACATACATGTGGCTTTTATTATGGAAGATCAGTTAAAGTAGAGCTTCTGTGTGCCATACGCTATTTAAAGTTTGTGTTCATGGTGTGTTTTTTTAACTAATGTTGCTTTTTTCTTTTTTTTATTTTCTTTTTTATTATTTTAAAGATCTGGATGAGTGCTCCAATGGAACCCACATGTGCAGCCCACATGCTGACTGCAAGAATACAATGGGCTCTTACCGCTGCCTGTGTAAAGAAGGTTATACTGGGGACGGCTTCACTTGTACAGGTGAGCTTTCGGGGGAAAGCATTGGATGACCTCCAGTGGTCCCTTGCAACCTAAATTAGTTTATTATTCAATACACAAAAATAGCTTTTAAACATTTGAAATTATTCTCAAATATGTCTGTGTCCATATTCCATTGTCTTCTACTTCACCTAAGTTGCCATAACTTGAAATAAATACTGTGTATTATACCTAGTCTAAAGCAGTCACATTTTTTCACTTGATAAAATGCAAGTCTGGATTGAGTTTTTCTGGTTAGTTGGAACGGATGGCAAAATTATTAAAATGATGCTTGATCATATAATTTGGCTAGTTAGTAAACCAATCCACTGGCTACCCACCTTTATATTTAAATAACAGGGCACGCCCATTAAAATGACTTCATAAAATTGCCTGAAAATGTTTGTTCTTTCCACAAGTGACTGTGTGCTGTCTGCCCTCTTTACTGCATCACCCTGAGAGATGCTGTCAGGATGCAGTGCTGACACGTAAATTGATGGAAGTAGCTGCTTCTGAAACCTCACTTTATAAACTGTAGATGTGATTATAAAACGTTGCGAGAGAGATGTTTCCCACCCACACTTCAGTCTTCTGCTTTGAAGAACAGGTTAGCTCGTGTAAGCTTAATCAGGAGCCCTGCCACTACACTAAGGATATCAGTATTGCTGGTGGAATTATTTGGAATAAAGACATGTTAGAGAAATAAAATAAAGACAAATAAAGATGGCTGGTGGGCCAGGTTTTCAGCTGGTGCAAATCAGCAGTGCACTATCAACTACAGCAGGTTTTTATGGCAGAATCTAGCTCAGCAGGTTTAAGGCTGAGTTTGAATCATTCCAATTTATAAATGGACCCTGGGATTCTGTTTAATTCTCTCTCTATAATTTGCTCTGGAATCTGATTCAGCTTTCTTAGTGGCCTTCAGAATCCAGTGCTCTTTGTTAATTTCCCATATGATGATTTCCAGGAGTCTATAAACCACATCTTTCAAATGGAGTGCTTATGGAGTTTCTACATTCGGTTTTTTTTTTTTTTTTTTTTTTTTTTTTTTTTAACGTGGATACTTTATTGTTCATGGATTCAGGAGGTGGCTGGGGCTCAAACTAGGGCACGCAAGCGTTCTGTAAGCTCTCTGCCAAAGCGTGCAGCATTCACCCTGGTAGGTACTACCTTTGATTTGCCAGCCATGGACTTTTACAAGCTCATGCTGCCAGCCAGACTCTGTTGCAACAGGGTGTTTTTGTCATGTATAAAATTTCAGCTGGAGACTAGGGGCCACAATCTATCTGAAGGGCAGTGTATTCCGGTAGCGAGGCTGTTTTTCTCATCAGTTGTTAACCTGCAGTTTAATTTTGATCAAGTTATTTTCACCTCAGTGCCACTTTTTGTCAGTGTTTTGTGTGTTTGGCATGGAGACTGCCTATTACCATATGTTTGCTCATTGCACAGTAAACCTCTTTTTTCAGTTGCTGCCTCTAGGCTTTGCTGTAATAGAAACAATAACTATAATAAAATTCACGTGCTCATTCTGAGACTAAATTTGACCCTGTGTACTGCCTGCAGTTGTTATTAACTGTAGCTACTTTAGGAGTCTGTGCCTCTCTCTGATTTCCCTTTTGATTAGAAGCTGTATTTTCAACATCAGAAATACACCAAGCATACATGTAATAGCCTCTGCACATAACTAGAGTGCAGTTTCTTCTGCAAGTGTTCAGAGCTAATAGAATAATTAAAATCCTTGGAACACTGTGTGCTTCAGCCGAAACAAATGTTTGTGAGAAAACCATGTTTACTATAAACCTGCAATTTCTCTTCCTTTTACAGACCTCGATGAATGCTCAGAAAACTTGAATCTCTGCGAAAATGGGCAGTGCCTCAATGCCCCTGGAGGATATCGCTGTGAATGTGATATGGGATTTTTGCCAAGTCCAGATGGGAAAGCATGTGAAGGTAATCGTGAGCTTTAAACAACACTCAACAAACTCTGCCTTAGTAGTATTTTATGTTTGAAAAATTTTACGATTGGTTGCAGTTGTGGTTGTACTGAGAACTGCATGAAAATTTTCAATAGTAGTTGCTTTTTTTTTTTCAGTTTATACATTTATTACGGGCTTCTGGGTGTTCATCTACCTATTGTATATAGAAAGAATAGCTTTTTGGAGCCTATCTTACTTACAACATGTTGTTTGTGGGTCTGATTACTGATCCAAATGGTGCTGTCAGCTGCCATTTCATCTTGGTCATTTGTACGCTGTTCTTCATTTTATTCATAACAGTTAAACAGAAAAAGGAACAACTTTGCCGTGGTGTATGTGAAGATGAAAAACACTGATTTGGTAGCTAATACAGTGAACATGCTTTGAGGGCTTCTGTGAGGTGCAGAATTAGAGTTTGAAGCCTGGCAGAAAGTTTATACAACCACCCCTAAAAAAAACCCAACAACCCCATGAGTATTTGTTCGGTTTTGAAAGTGAGTTGCCAGTAAACTGTTTACAGCTGGTTCGTAAGAGCTTTGCATATGCAAAGATTCACCAAAATCAAATAATAAACATGTTACCAACATGATCAAGGTCCTATATTTGCAACATTTGTAACATCCTTTATATGTAACATTTGAAATCCTCAGTTGATATAACGCTAATCAGTTTAAGTCAGTCAAGGAGAAGCAGCCATATCATCTGACATAGTAATAACTCAGGGTAACTGGTATTTGATGGAGTTCATAAGTACATCACTATAAATAGGATTTTTTTCCCCTGAAAAGTGTTCTGTATATTTTTTTAGTAATCTACCAAGAGAAATAATTTATGAAAGTGAATTTTTGTGTAAACTAAAACAATACTAGGTTTCATAACGTTTCATGAAACAATTTACTTTCAAACCTTTTAGCTAACTTTAAATAGCTTATATGGAGCCTAGCTCCTGTTGCTAAAACAGACTTTCCTTGATGTCTCAGATGTGTAAACTAAATGCAGTGTTTTAAGGTTCTTTGTAAACACGCACTTTTTTTATTGTATCGGATGGGTTGTTCTTTGTGTGCTGCATACAGCATTCAGTAAATACTGAATCAGATGCAGTGATTTGGACAGAAGGCACAAAAATGATCTCTGCTTGCCAAACTTGAGATCTTTCAAATGCAGAAACCTGAAGATGAGCATCAGGTTCACCTTTGGGCACAAGCTTTTCCTTTGCTGATGTCCAGCTTTCTGCAGATAACTGCTGATTTAGAATAAGCTTCATTTTTTAAAGCATATCTCCTGCCATGTTTAATTTTGCTACTTGTCAGATTAGCCCTCTAATAAGATCTGATTGTTTCTGGCTTGCTTCCAGAGGCGCTGGAAAAGAGCCTTTTGCCCCAAAAAACAGGTTATGGATTAGGTTCCTTAGGCTCCAAATATAAATCTTGCGTGTTATTTTTTCTGGTCTTACATGGTGTGCAGAAGCAGTTGGCTTTCAGATCCATGTTTTCTGAAGCTTTTTGCAGTTCTCTGTCTGTATCTTAAAAAGATAAGGAAACCTCATATTTTTCCCCTCCTGTTCCTCCATCAGATATTGATGAGTGCTCACTTCCTAACATCTGTGTCTACGGGACTTGTCATAACCTGCCTGGACTTTTCCGATGCGAGTGTGAAGTGGGCTACGAGTTGGACAGAAGTGGTGGTAACTGCACAGGTAAAGATAATTTTGTACAACATGCTTTTTAATTTTCTGTTAGTGTCGTGCGTCAGCAACTTAGGAAATTCTTTTTAAAAGCTATACAAATCAGACTGGATATAGAAAGATACAGACTTCCCTACCGTATAACACAGGATTCTCCTTCTTGTGTTTTCTACACTCCTCTTTCCATTTCTTTGTCAACCTCTGATATCCTGTTGCCTTAAGAGAAGAAGGGGAAAACCAGAGCAGAGATAACATCTCTGTCTGTCCACATCTCCCAGATGGAGATGGTTGTGCCTTGTAGTTTCAGTTCACCGTACTGGATGGTAAGCTATAACCTTGTCATGTGTTTTTCCCTTAAGTATTTTTTTTAGCATTTTTGTGAATTTTAGTTCACAGATTGGTTTTCCAGAAAAAAGACTTTTTTTTTTCTTCTCCCATGAAATGATAAATTCATCTCAGCCTACTGTTCTTCTGTGTGTATTTTTTAGAGCTTTCTGGAGATCAATATCTCATAACTAACGGATTTGTGATGGTCAGAATACGATACCCAGTATATCGATGGTTTGTGCTCTCCTTGGGTATTTGCTTACCACGTGCTGTTTTTTTCTTGCAGATGTTAATGAATGTGCAGATCCCACAACCTGCATTAGTGGCACATGTATTAATACAGCTGGTAGTTACACCTGTGAGTGCCCTCCTGATTTTGAGCTGAATCCCACCAGAGTTGGATGTGTTGGTAAGGGACCACTCTTTATGTTATTTACAGGTGAAATTGCACAGAGGAGCTGCTGGTCCTACTGCTTAGGAGTAAAGTCCCAGGTCATGGAAGAGGGCTGGAATGGGCTCTCCAACTCCCACCCCACTGCCCCTGGCTTAGAAGTTGTAATAGTGCAGCTGGAGTATGTCCAGAGTGATGTAGCATGCCAGCAGTGCCCAGCTGCCAGAACCAACCCCTTGGGCCTTGTTACAGCTGTCCACAATTTACAGCAGGCATGAGATGATTTTAAATTTCAACAAGCTTAAACCACCATCCAGCTGGCCCCAAGATGGCAGGCAAATGAAGTTGCGACATAAAACCACCCATGCTCTTGGAGCATTCAGCACAGCTTGGCTAGGTGCAGTTTCATGACTGATGGAAATGCTCTTGTATCAGGCTCCAACTGCTTCGTAATCCTCTGATATTTTTTGGCATTCGTTTGTTTAAAGGGACGTAGGGATGCTCCTCATATTCAAATGTATTTGAAATTCCTAACATTTAGTGGATGCTTTCATGCTTGTTAACCTCAAGGAGAAGATAAAGCAGTGGCTTTCTGGAACTGGAAGGATGTACAAATGCAGGTGAAAATGTGAATGAAAATGAGAAAAGCCCTGGCTGAACTGCCCTTGGTCATGCTGAATAAATTCTCTACTTTGTGAGAAGTCCAGCAAAGCCAAGGAATAGGGCACCACTCTCCTACCTATGCAGAAAAATCTGGGCCCTCCTGGACAGCTCAAGTCACTTTAGCTGTCCTACAAGACATCCCTCATCCTGAGATGATGTGTTGTTTTCCTCTCTCATAAGATGTGTTTGTCATTATGTGCATTCTGAATAGATACACGATCTGGCAACTGTTACCTGGACATTAAAACTCGTGGAGATAACGGTGGCACCTTCTGCAGCAATGAGATTGGAGTGGGTGTTTCCAAGGCCTCCTGTTGCTGCTCCCTGGGCAAAGCTTGGGGAGTTCCCTGTGAACACTGCCCACTTGTGAACACAAGTAAGTCAGCTTTCCTGAGTTAAGCACAACAATACAATGTGTTTGTTGGATTTTTCTTTCGTTTTGTTTATAATTTAGCCAGGTAACTCAAATACTGGTGTCATCAGGTATGGTGTACATGCAGGAGACAGGTTTCCACCAGTCTTAACCAAAAACTTTACTAGTCTCTCGAAAAGATCATTTACTCAGAATAATTCTATTATCATTTCTGAGCCAGTTGGCTGTTATACAGAAAACTACATTATGAAATGGAATAGCAGTTGACGCTACAGAGTAAAACCTAATGTTTATATCTGGTCACTTTGTTACTTTATATTTAAATTACCTGTAATACTCTGATAATTGTGCTGAAGACATTTGTACTATTTTAAGTTCATAAATCTATTTGTTTTCAGCTGAATATAAGGTTCTTTGCCCTGGAGGGGAAGGATTCCGACCAAACCCTATTACAGTTATATTAGAAGGTAATGTTTACATTTTCCTGTATTTCCATGTCTAAAATTATGAAACTCTTCAGTGAGTGTTGTTTTTCATGGGAGAGCATGAATGAAATGTTTGTGGTTTTGTTTGAACAGATATTGATGAATGTCAAGAACTGCCGGGACTTTGCCAAGGAGGAAAATGTATTAATACATTTGGTAGCTTCCAGTGTCAGTGTCCATCAGGGTACTACTTGAATGAAGAGACTCGAGTGTGTGATGGTACGTAGCCTTCACTTAACTACCCCTCTTCATTTATTCTTAGAAAATGATGACAGATCAACATGCAGAAGAATTACTCTGTCCTTGAAAAGGAACATAAGCAGATCAAGCGGTGTAAATCTTAAGGGTGGGAAAATTGGAACAAGCTGAAGTCTTGCACTGAGAGAGAAAATTCCTTCTTGACCATGTTGAAATATATGCAAATTTTTGTTTAGAGTAATCAGATTTTGATCAAAACCAGAAAAACCAAACATTTTTTCTTTAAGTAAAACATAATCTACTAACCAGCTATAAAAAATAGCTATTTTGTGATGGATAATGAATAAGCAGTTGGATAAAGAGCAAGCTTGCCCCATGAGTCTGCTAGGCTGGTTACAGCATGTCCATGCCTTTTTTTCACTGCTTATTTTCTCTCCTGCTGATCTCAATGTCCAATTGAAAATACTGGTTGTAGTGCAAAACATTTTCCCCTAGCACAGTCAGTAGTACATGTTCATCACATTACACACAGCTGTCAGGTTGTACTGGATATAAAACTTTGAGCAACCCATCAAGTCCTTAAATTTCCCATTGTTGAGGCTGTCTTTGGCCTTCCAGACTTAATAATGTTAATATGATGTGCCAAACACTGCAGAAATACAAAAGGTTTGGGTCCTAAATTAAGGCTGAACCAAAGTGCTTCATCTGCATTGTGCTTATGTAGCTCAGCAAGTGTTAAAGAGGAAATCTACCTTTAGATTTTTCCACAGTGGTGTGTCAAAGATACTTCAAAATGATAAAGCTAGTGAAATACTTTTGAAGTTTTAGAAATTGAGGTGTTTTGGGGGTGGTGTTGGGTTTGGGGATTTTTAAACAAAGGTTAAAGTCTCTTGGTGAAATAAACCTGACATCTTGTGTTAGGAAGGTTGCTCACTCTCCCCACTCAAACAGACCTGAACCGTCCAACCAGTCAGTTTTAGCATCATTCCTTATTGAGATGGGCACTCCGCAGGGAACAGCTTTGGTTCATGTCCAGGTCTGGGAATGCATGAGATCCTCAGATACTATTTTTGTGCAAAACCCAAATTGCTGACTCTGAGCTGCCTAGACATACCGGAGTTGCCGTCTTCACCTCACAGCCAGGCTTTTCATGGCCACCTGTGCCACCACTGCCTTCTCTGGGAGGGCTTTGCTCCACCGTGACCTCTCTCAGAGCCCCTTCAGCTCTTCTCCACCAGTACCTTCCTACCTCAGGCATTGCTGAGACATTGTCATTCCCAGAAGCACAATGAGAAAGCTCTTGTGGCCACTTACTGCCTTTTGCTTCTCTTTTAGATGTGAATGAGTGTGATACACCTGGCATTTGTGGACCTGGCACATGTTACAATACTGTTGGGAACTACACCTGCATCTGTCCTCCTGATTACATGCAAGTCAATGGAGGAAACAACTGCATGGGTATGGGTTGTGATTTTTTTAAAGCTTTATCTTAGTGCTTTGGGTCAGGGCTTTACCAGGCACAAATCAGAACTATTTCTCTGAATTCAGACATACAAGAATTAACTAAATGAAAGATCAAGCTTTTTTCATTAATTCTATTGAATAAAGCAAGGCAGATCACTTTTAATACAGATCTTTCAGTCTCTCATCAGAATTTCTCCTTTAATTTGATATTTCTGTGTTCATCCCTTTAATTTTAAAAGTTTCTACATGTGGAACATTACCAAAATTACTCAGACTTCACAAAACGAAGTCACAAGCTGTGTACAGTTCTTAGGGGGAACCATAAACTAGTTCATGTTTTTCAGTATGGGCAAAAGGCCAATCTTGAATCCTTTGATGAGTCTGATCAGTGTTACAGCCATGTTGTTTTCTTTTGAATATTCGTATTGCAAACACTTTTTTATACTTTTAGAGTAGTCTTTTAGGGACAGGCAGATGACAGCATCTACTTGACAGGGTTCTAAAAAAGTACATATTTGAAGGAGATATCTCCTAAATCCTTCAGGTAAATCATCTTCCATAAGAGTTGTTAATGCATTGGCCTGGGTTTTTCATTTTCACAGATATGAGAAGAAGTTTGTGTTACAGAAATTACTATGCTGACAATCAAACCTGTGACGGTGAGCTGCTCTTTAATATGACCAAGAAAATGTGCTGCTGTTCCTACAACATTGGGCGTGCATGGAATAAGCCTTGTGAACAGTGTCCCATCCCGAGCACTGGTATGTTTTATGTTTTTATGTTAAGCTATTTGAAATCCTTAGTAACCTCATCATTATTATTAGTGGGTGTAACGTTGTTACAGATGTGATGTCGTTGTCTGCTCTTGTGTGTCTAAAATGAAGGGATTAATTTTTTGGCCTGGAGGTGATCAGCCCCACTCACAATGAAGGCACATTTGGAGTGGTTTGTGTTCATCCTGCTGGGCCATGCCTCCTCTGTGCCAGTTTCTCTGTCTGGGAGACTTCGTACTTGACATGGGTTAATCTGTTTCTTTGCAAATGCTTGTTGATCCAGTGTTGAGGCACTGACCATGGTTTTACTGGCATTGCTCCAACAAATATGGTGTCTGCTGTGCTGTGCCTGGGCTGCTGAAGGGCCTTTGTGGTAGCCACGGGTTTACAGAAGTACCTTGGTCTCCTCTGAGAATGATCTTTGTCGAGCAGCTAAGTGTAAGATGTTGTTTCTGGACTAATTGTATGGGCATACAGGACTCCTCCACACTGGGTAAGGCTCTGCAGAGTTGAGCTCAGGACATCCCGCTCTGGTTCAAGGTAGTTTGCTTCAAGAACAAACTTTCTAGACACTTACTTGAATAACTTCCAACTTACAGTTCAGGGTTTTAAAAGTCAGATCTGGACTTGTATGCAAAAGCTGTAATGCAAGAGATAAGCATACGGAAAGCAAAATCGGCATGTGATCCCAAGCCCTCTGCATCTTTTTATTTACTAATTTCAATGGCCTTTGAATGAGAACCCAAGTGCATACTAATAATATCACATGGTGAGCCTTGGGGAGGAGTCTGCACACCTCTGTGTGCCCTGCAGGTGCTGAAAGAGTAGAGGAATTTTCTTGGGCAAAGGATGTAATGAATTTTTGACTGTTGATTAATTCCAAATACTATCATAGGTGCTTTGTTTTTCTGTTGCAGATGAATTCTCCACACTCTGTGGAAGTCAAAGGCCTGGCTTCTTTATTGACATTTATACAGGATTACCAGTTGGTGAGTTGTAATTTCTATTTTGAACTAAATTCCATACTACCTCTGCCCAGGTAAGAGGAGAGGTTGGTTTTCCCAATTGTTTTTTTCATGGGAGGAGTAACGACTAAACTGTGATGGAGTTCAACCCTCTGTTTAAGTCTGAGCCTGCAGACTTTCTGCCTAGCTCCTCCTAGCTGGCAGCAATGATAATTGCTGCTGGTAATCAAGGCAACATAAAGCTCCAAAGAAACTGTAATCAAGCCTACATGAGCAGGGCACAGATACTGAGAATATGAGGTCTGGGAGTAAGGCCAACCAGCATTTGGTCTAAGAGGAATTAGGAGTCTTTCCTTCAAAATAAAGCAGAGATTTAATCTGACATTTCACATGGGTCCCCCTGTGTATTGGTTTGACACAAAAATCCTTTTTTCTGCTCAGCTGGAATATTTCTCACATATGTTATTGTGTGTAACGTTTGAATCGTGAGTAACAAATTGCAAAACAAAAAGAGGGAAAGAATGAGGAATTCTAAGACAAGGAGTTGAGTAAATCCCTAGTGGGACTCCCTTTTGTTTTTATTAACACAAAAATGCAAATAAGAAGCAGATAATGTGCCCTGTAATGAACAGAGACAGCATACAGGCAGTAATCAGGTGCTTTAGCATTGAGTTGTTGTTGTGACGCAGTGTTGAGCTAATTAGATGGAAATATTTCTAGTAAAGGGGGGAATGTAATTTTTAAAGAAGCTACAGAAATGTATGGTATTTATTATTTACCAGGTCATTTCATAGAAGCAAAGTTCCCCTTTCTAGCTATAAGCATTAGCCCACATTGTTGCCCAGTCTACTCAAGCTAACTGGGCCGTTCATCAGCATCAGCAGGGAGGCCTTGGATCATGCCAACATACATAAGTAAAAACTGCATCTATAGCAGCTGACGTGTGTGCCAGGAGTGTTGCAGTCTGCTCTGACTGCCCTGCCACATCATAGAGCAGTGCACATTCAGGAGCCGTCCCGCAGAGGCCACCCATACATCCCAGTGCATGCGACGCTGTGGTGAGACACGTGCAGACACAGCCTCACATGGTGTGAGTGGCAGGCTCTCCCTGCTGCTTTGGCATCTTGGCAGGTCTCGCTAGGTTGTAGAACTCAACCTGCTGCTCTTGCACAAGAGTTGCTTGTGTCCATGACATCTGCAGGCCCAGGGCACTGGGACAAGGTAGCACCCATTCTGCAGGGACAGTGCTCTGTCTACCCTGTAATATTTGGTTACAGTCCTTACATGATGTTACTCTTCTGTGTAGATTAAAGTGCTATATATTTACTTCAGGTGATTGTTTCAGAGACAGAAGTAGTTCTATAATAGCAGCTGGAGGGTTTTTCTCTGTCAAAATCAGTTCCTTAACCCAGGTGTATGTAGAGCATTGGTAAACCCTGGCTGCCTGGCTTAATCAATTTAACAGCGTGTTTGCAGCACTTCAGATGTTACCTGGCATTGGCACTTTCAAACTGTTACATAAAAACATGAGAGTGTTTTCAGATTAACAAGAGTAAAACAGTACAAAACAAATTCTGACAAGAGTTTGCATTCAGACATGCTCTCCTATATTAAACCAAAGACAGTTACATTCTCTCTGACTCAGTAACTCCACTGCAACTCGGGAAGATGAGTTCATCATGGCTGTGGGTGGGAGGCATGAGGAAGGACATGTGCTACCCTCTACATTCCTATGTGGTGGGATATATCTTCTCTACAGTGAACAATCAGAACCTGAGGAAATAGGAAATACCTGCATTTCCACAGTTTGGAATGACTCATTGTCTATTGCAGTTGGGACCATTCTGATGCTGGCATTATACATTTGATAATTCTCTAAAGGATAAATGCATAAGGACATATTATGTAGCAGAAGATTTCATGAAGTGCTGTTTCCAGGTATTTAAAACAATTTCTTGCAGATATTGATGAATGCAGAGAGATTCCTGGAGTGTGTGAAAACGGGATCTGTATAAATATGGTTGGCAGCTTCCGATGCGAGTGCCCTGTGGGTTTCTTCTACAATGACAAGCTTCTGATCTGCGAAGGTAGAGTGCTGATCTTAGTCAGAGATTTCACGAGCTGACAATTCTGACAAATCTGATATACTCGCAAGTCATCCTTAATGAGGGGAAAGTATTGGCATCAGTGTAATAAGCCTGTGATAATTCAGACACTTTGAATTATTTTGCATAGAAAATACCAGATTTTCCATCAGACATCTAAGGCCTTGAAGGAGCGTGAGTCAGCAGTCATGGGGAAGAAACATTGTTTTTCACGTTTGACAGTAAAGACAAGAAACGAGTAGTCTTGAGTCAGATCACTGTTAGAGCAGATTTTTTTAATTCCAAGGTATTTTTTTCTAATGGAACGGAGATTTCGGTAAATAATATAAACACATGATATTTTTTTTTCTCCAATTTAAATCTTTCCTAACGTTGTATTAGTCTGTTTAATGGCGAAACTGAAGACACCAGTATGAATTTCTGTCATTCTCTGGTGTGGGTTATGACTGCTGAGCAAGGCATCAAGAGCTCTGGGTAAAAGCATCTTCTGTAAGCTGCTTCTAACTGAAACACCGTGACATTTCTACAGAAATAAGGTTATCTTTTTGCAGCAGCTTAACTAAGGAAAATTGGTCAAAATTGTTTGCCTAGAATTTTATGGTGGTGTTTACGTTGAAAGCTACTAATATCCAACAGGGATCTTGATGCTTTGTTATGGTCAAGGGAGATCCTTGTAGTGGAGGGATCCTCACGGCTCCAGTGGCCGTCTGTGCAGACAGAGCATCTTGCTTGTTCTGATTGCAGTTTTAGGACTGAAATCCACCCAAGTGCAGTGTTGCAACATGGGCCCTCCAACACCTTCAGAAAACCATTTTATAAATTCTCTAGATAGGAAGGAATTTTACAAATGGAGCATATGGGTTTGGCATTTCAGGGAGATACCTAAATGTGACCAAATATCTGCTTTTATCAATATATTTTTCAGAATTAGAAAGAAATTCCTATATTTAGGTAAGGTAATCCCCTTCACACTAAAAACAAAGTGGTTTTGATGTCTTTTTAGTGCCCGCTTACTGTAACAATCAAATTCCCTTTTTGTATTGACAGATATTGATGAATGCCAAAATGGACCAGTGTGTCAGCAAAATGCAGAATGTGTCAATACAGCTGGTAGCTACCGCTGTGACTGTAAACCTGGCTACAGGTTCACATCAACTGGCCGCTGCACTGGTGAGTACTTCTGACTTGTTTGTGTGAGGGTCTGCAAAGAGTAGTAGATTTTAGAAGTCTAAAAAAGCCTATCTCCTCTTCAGAAAGACGGTATATACCAGGACATGATCTGGGCTCCAAGAATCCTCCTCTTAAAGTCTTTTAGAGAATCACATAAACATTCTGGTAGTTCCCAGAAGACTAATGGGCCCGTCCCACAGAGGCATAGATGAGAGTTAATCACATGAGTAGGTGTTTGTCTTCCACTTTATCCCACCAACCGCAAACATTTTTCTTTAGCCCATGTTATGTCTAGGGATGGAAGGCAACGGATTCACTACTAAAATTCAGTTGCAGTCCTGAGGGGGACCTTCCTCTGCATAATTTCTTTGATTTTCATTATAATTTGCTAGTTGTGTTTTAGCAATTTGTTTGCCACTTGTATTTTTACACACAACTCGCTGCTTTGCTGGAGTCTCTGCTGATAAAGTGGACTTATCTGCTAGGCCATATGCAATAAGTAACTTAAAAAGCTTAATGTTAAACTTCCTAACTTTTACGTGGATTTAAACAGGCACCTGAGCATTATTTTTAAATATTCACTGAGTGGGACTGCGGTTCTCTAATCTATCTGCCTTTTCTTATATCATAGTCCAGAGAGGCATTCATGTTATCTTGATTACTTGAAGAATTGCAAAGGTTTTCAAGACTGCTGTGGGCCAAGCAGCTATAAATATTATATACATTTCTGAACAAAATAATAATTACAACGGAAACTGGTAACATTTTCCTTGGGTTTTTGCTTTTGAGTACTTGAGTTTTAGGAAGTGTACTTTTCCCTGCAGTGCAGTTTTTCATTGTTTCATGTGACCCTTGGGGGAAAAGGGTGTAGGGGCAACCAGAACGCTAGTGTGAGAACTAAAACTTTGTTTTGTTAAGCTATGCAGTGACACATGTAAATATTCAATATGTTCCTAATGTAATTGTTGTTATGGGTTCGTTAGAGCGGTACAGGAAGAGCTGGGAAAGGTTCTGATATGGGTTACAATACCAAACATGAATTGGCACAAACAGTAATACTTCCCTGTATTTTGCTCTTATTTTATATTTGGTGAAAATAAAGTTACAATTAGAGTCAAAATAAAAGTGGTTGATAAAGTACTTGGTTCAGCAAAGGAAGGAAATTCCCAACCACTTTGCTGAGAGCAAAGAGTGCTAAAGACCTTATGGTACTGGATCAGTCTTGCTACTGCATGGAAAACAATCACAGTTTATATAGAGTAAATATATTATTAGTATTAAATCAAAACTGGTATATCACAGCCACTAGTACTATGATTACTTCATTTATACTATCAAAATAGCATTCTTCTGGTGCTATCTATTGTGGTATAATGAATAATTTTTCATATAAACTCATTTTTAAGAAAACTCTGCCTCCCAGTTCTTAAAAAAACTACAATACTCTCTGTTTAGCCCAAAAGAAGTGACTTTTCCCTGGGGCTTTAATTCATCATTCATTTGCCCACAGAGCACCAAAAGAGTAATTGTTTTTCTTTCATCTCTATTCTCCTGAGCTGCAAAGACTCTTAAGGCAGCATGTTATCCAGCACTGGTTTCCTTTTCTGCCTCCTTCAGACTCTAATTAGCAGCAGTATCATTAATAGCATTGGGAGAGCTTGGTCCTCAGTAAACACTCGTCCAAAGTTACTAGTGGCCCCAGTTGATGTACAGCAGTCCTGGGGATGGGGCTATCAGGGTTGTCCATGTGCCAAGCAGAGTGTGGAGGAGAGGCAGGAAAACAAGATTTAGTACATGAAGTTCTTTGCAGTTAGGAACAACTTGACTCTTAGTTTTGCAGTGAACTGGGGATGCTTTGGTAAGAAAACTGCATCTGCTTTGCTTAGATTGCATATAAAAGAAAACCCCTGAACACTAAAATCTAATCAATTTTAATACAAGCTTAAGGCAGCACTTTAGTTCAGCTATTTTGGACCTGCAGTAGACGATGCCAGGAAGCATACTGAATTAAACCAACTCTTGCTGCTTATGAGGTCTAAGAAAGACCTCATTTGATTCATGTTTCTGATTGTTCATGGAGAAAACGTGCTGGAGAGTAAACATTTTGTCCTTTAACATTTTGTTTCATTTACTATTGACAGAATCCTAGATTCTGCCTGCAAGCATTCATAAAGAGGAGCAGGAAGCAGTCAGGTGTTGAACTAGTGTTACAGACGCCCTGCTCGTGTGAGGCAGCGTATCACATGCTGGCAGGATAGCTCTCCCCATCTCTCTCTCCACTGTTATGCAGTTGAGTGTTTGCTGCTGATGGCAAAATATTTTCTGACTCCATATAGCAGTAATTCTTGCTATTTGAGCTTTGTCTGGCTTATGGGATCATCGCATTGCATGAGGCCTGGACACTACAACACGTGTATACATGCACTCAATTTACCTCTGCACAATGAGTAGATAAATCTACAGTGCATTTTATCTCTCTGTAAGCTTAGTGAGAAAAGGGTGAGATTTGTCTCCCTTTCTGTTTTGTTTCGTTGCTGTGAGTGAATCAGGTAGCCTGTGCTATAATTAAATGTAGCTGTGAGCAAGTAGTTGCTTTCATGAGAAGGATGTAAGCTGTGGTTTATACCTGGGTTTCGTATCTGCTGCAGTCAGTGGAGAGCACTCGAAAATCTCCCCATACAATTTCATGTCATTAATTCAACTTCTCAAAGCCATGGCAACGTGCTTTCCCTCTACCAAGAATTCGTGTTTGGTAAATATAATTTTTGCACTAAACTTTTTTCAGCTTCACAAACGTTGGAAAACATAGTTTACAAGCCAATAGCCCCTTTTCTGAGATTTACTTAGTTATGCTTTTGTCATTAATAAATGAACAGTACTATCTTAAATTAGGGCCATACACTTGATTTTTAACTGGTTGCTGCTAATAGATCTTTCAAGCCCAGTAATTTAGAGGCCTTAACTTTCAATCTGCTTCATTGTTTTCAGATCGGAATGAATGTCAAGAAATTCCCAATATCTGCAGCCATGGGCAGTGTATTGACACTGTTGGAAGTTTCTACTGCATTTGTCACAATGGATTCAAGACCAATGATGACAGAACAATGTGTATAGGCAAGTATATCAAATTAAGTTGTACTTAGGCTTCCATTAAGATAGTTATTAAGTCTGTCCTCTCTGACATGAGGGGTTACATTGCAAGAACTGAGATTGTGAGCCATTTACCACCAGGCAAAGGTGCAAAACCAACATAGCTGGGAATTAGAGATGATAGGAAGCTGATAATGAATGAAGAACCTCTCATTACAGTAGAGGGGACCTTTAAAAGTGTATATCCTGTCTGATGAACTGCTAATGCTTTCATTTAAAAAAAAAAAAAAGTTCCATTCTTCTTAGAATTTTCTGAAGCATCTTGTCTCACTTATTCCTTTAGGCAAGAAATTTAATAGATGAATATTGCAATGCAGCAATTGTATACAGCCTACTTGTTAACAGAGTAAGCGAAGAGTAGATTTCTTGCCAGAAAAGTGCCCTTTTCAGAAACAGAGTCATCTTCATAAAGAAGGAAATTCTGTATTTAACTCATTCACAGCTGGTAGTGTAGTGTCTGTTGTCTGAGCAAGATGAGGAGTTTTCAGAATGCTTATGATTAAAGATGGCTTAGACTTCCTTTGGGAAGGGTGAGATAGGAGCCACAGTAAGATAAATGATTGTTGGACCCTTAATTATTTTTTGTAGATGTTAATATCAAGTGTATAAACCCATGTAAAATATTTTGGGGAGATACAACAAAAAAAATCTCTTTCCCTTCTATTCACTCTGCTGGCAGTGCATTATTTCTCTTGCCTGTGGGATAGCTACAGGTTTTCCTTTCCCCATCAGTGATTAAAATTCTTGCTGCTTGTTTTTTCTCCTCTGTAGATATTAATGAGTGTGAGAGAGATGCCTGTGGCAACGGAACCTGCAGAAACACCATTGGCTCCTTCAACTGCCGCTGCAATTTGGGGTTCATCCTCTCACACAACAATGACTGCATAGGTAAGGGGGGCTGAGACTAGTTCCTTGTTTCTAAGACTTTCTACTTCTAATGAAAGTACCAGTAGTACTGTCTTCTCTATTGAGTTAGGATTGCACCTTGCATGGTCTGCCTGATTAAAGACAAAACCTGATTTCTCCAGTCTGAAAAGGTCTCTTTGATTATGCACTCCTCACTCTTCAGTAGTCACTTAAATATTTACATGTGATATGCCATTCCTTTTTTTAACTCTTGCTTTAACCGTTTCACAACATAGACCAGTAGTGGTATTTTCCTCACTTGCTTTTGAAACAGGCGAGTATTTGTGTATTATCAGTGACTGTGCCGATGTAGTGGAAACAGAAATCTCACCTACCCAGTTTCACTTGTTGCAGGCATTTCCTTTATATCTTTCAATGTTATTGTTCCTAGATGTGGACGAGTGTGCAAGTGGAAATGGAATGCTCTGCAGGAACGGTCAGTGTGTGAACACGATCGGGTCCTTCCAGTGTCTTTGCAATGATGGCTATGAGGTTGCTCTGGATGGAAGGACTTGTGTTGGTAAGTGCTTTCTTTTAGGGCAGAAAAAAAGTGCAGCAAACTTTGAGGAGATACTCCTAGTAAAACAGTAGAAGTCAGAGAGAACTGTCATGCTGTCATCATTGTACCTAGCAGAAAAGAACAATGACATGAGGAGAAGAGGACTCTTCTCCTGCTCCTGGGAAGTTCCGCCATCAGTTTGATGAAATCCAAATTAAAGCAGCCTCCACCACAGATTAATTAAGATAACAGCAATTATCTCAAATAAATTGTCTTTCTTTTCTTTTAGATATCAACGAATGTGCACTGGAGCCTGGAAAATGCTCACCAGGCACATGTCAGAACTTGGATGGGTCATTCAGATGTATCTGTCCTCCTGGATATGTCCTGCAGAATGACAAATGTGAAGGCATGTATGGAACAATCCTTCTGTACCTTTCCTACCTATTCACAGTTGTTACCACTTCCCTCTGCATCTAAACATGAGTAATGTTTAGTCTTCTGTGGCAGTGTACGGTTCTGAACTGTAGTCACTCACTTCCCAGAAAAACTCTCACCAACTTTTCTTTGAACCAGAACTACCTGATCTGATGCCAAGAAAAATCTAATCCCAGGCTGTTTGGTTGATGGTACATTGCTGAGGTTTGCCCATCACATGAGGATTTGAAAACTAACCCTAGATTTTGCACCTGGATTTCTTGTTCCTCTTTCTGTCCGTTCCTTTTGGTTTGACCTTTTTGTTTTTCAAATCTGTTAGATATCAGTGATGATGTAAGTTTACATTTTATATAGTACAGCTGCCAGTGTAGACATTTTTATTATCTCTTTAATTACTTTCCTTACAGACATTGATGAGTGTGTGGAACAGCCAGAAATTTGTGCCCTGGGCACGTGCAGCAACACTCCAGGCAGTTTCAAATGTCTGTGTCCAGAAGGCTTTGTGTTGTCTTCCACAGGAAGGCGATGCCAAGGTAAGTTCATTCCTATTTTCTGGCATTTCAAAATTTGTTTGCTGTTTTATAAAAGCCTTATTAGCTGCCTGTTTCTAATATAACAAGGAGACTCTGGACTCAAACTGTTTTTCACAAGGAAAACATGATAATTCTGTAGCTGGGGCCAGGTTTTGTCTTGCCCTAACATCTGTTTGTCATTAAAGAGAACATTGCAATAAAAGGGGTGAAGATAATATTAAATGTACCAGGTTAAGTGAGGAAACTGTGTTGTCCTGCAGCCCTTTCTTGCACTCCTGGAAGAAATGTTGAGGCTACCTGGACTTGGTATAGACTATGACATGTCTGACGTGAGATGGAGCATGAACACAGGCAGGAGACTGCTGCAATGCACTGCTAAAGGCAGCATTTCTAGGAACAAGGCTGTTGCTAGCACTTATCAGATTCACCGTAACACTTATTATATGCTATTCCTCTCCACAAATGTGCGGGTAGAAAAAAGATGGATGGAAAAAATTTGCAAACAATGTTGTGTGGACAATAAGCACCCATCTGCTTAGAAAAGTCTGAAGTGTCTTTTGGCTTCTAGATTACCACATACACTGTTCAGAGCCTACACATGGGCACTAAGACAGAGATCAGATGCTGAAAGCTGAACACCTAGTAATGAAAAGCCACAGGTTAGTTTATTTTGTGGATAAAGAACAAGCACAGAAAATCAGGGAGTGAGTTATTTTAAAGTCTTTGGAAATTATTAAATAGATACATCGTTAAATGTCCTATACACAGTGTGCACAGCGGGAACCACTGATGAGTAAGACCTTTATAAGGACCTCTGTAGTTATGTTTGGCACGGAACGGTGATGCTTGTTGACACCATAGTGAGTTCTTCACTTCACAGTGGGCTAAATGAAACTGTGGTTTTGGTAAAAATGAATCCAACCTGCAGTAAACATTCATCCAAGTCTCCAAACCACCATGCAGTTTGGCACAGTTACTTCACTCAACTTCAAGAAAGCAGCATGGCTGTTTTAGCTGTGCTTTTGTAGGCTGTATAAATGAGGTTTCTTCAGTCTAAGGGTGTTGTTCTCTTCAGGTAAAGAAGAAAATCACCAAAAAGAAAACCAACACAAAACCAGGAACCACAATCATAAAAAATAATGCAGCCTAATCTTCTCCTTTATGAAAACAGACCACTGTTTCACACATCATGTCAGAGGAAAATGCACACTTGTGTGTATGAACTTTAAGTAGGCTTCTTCCCATCCCCTGGAGAAGACCATTGGGTTTTTTTCATGTATCTCAGGCCAAACAAAGTTTTGTTTAAAACTTCCCTTTACCTAGAACTTTTGTAAAATATGGAGATTGCCCAGCATTGATGCTGTAGCCAGAAAACTGGATGAGCAGCTGCTTCCACAACTGCCCTGTTGCTGTCCCTGTGCCAATGCAGGGAGCTGCCAGCTCTCTGCCTGCTGGATGCTTGTGGTCTGTGATCTCAGCTCTGCTCCAGCGTCCTGGTTACCCAGTGCAAGGGAGTAAAACGTAGTGCCACTGGGCCAGTTTTCTTTGTTTGTGTGTACCTCAGCAAAGAATGAGGAAGGAAAGCACCACCGAAAATTGCATCTCATTTTAACACTACACAGAATTATCATTACAGGTTGATAAAAATCTCTTGATTCTTACTGGTAATGGAATATAAATAAATTCAGCCAATATTAAGTTTTTACAAAAGGGAGTGAGGACATGAGGAGAGTACAGCACTCCCATCTCTGCTGGACAAAAGAGAAAACCCCTTCCTTTTCCATGACTGAAATAGGACACTCTATCCCATAGCTTTCCTTTACTGGGGTAGGGACCTCTCCTCTCTCTTCAGATCTTCCCCAGTCAGAGACAATAATGGTCCTTCTTGACAGACTCAGATGGAAGTTGGGTGTTTTGTTGAGGGAGCCTCCTGTAATTTTGCAGTTAACACCTCTAAGTGAAAACTCTGCCAGAGTCACCCTAATGGCTCATAACAAGTTTTTGTCTACGCAGATCTGAGAGTAAGTTACTGCTTTACCAAATTTGAAGATGGAAAATGTTCTGTGCCAAAGTCCCGAAACCACTCCAAACAAGAGTGTTGCTGTGCCTTAAAGGGACAGGGATGGGGAGATCCCTGCGAACTCTGCCCAGAGGAAGCAGATGGTGAGTTATTGACTAGGTTACCTTACTGTTATGATAGCCCCTCAGAACTGAAAGAAGATTGGGATTCTTACAAGAAGAAATCAGTAAAAGTAATTTTCCAGAGGTGTTTAACCCTAATAATTGTCATTGTTCTCTGTAAAGTAGATGCCACTGCAGTCTCAAAAAACATTTTCCTAGCATATTGCTTGTTTGCTTACAGGTTTGTTAGTATGAACAGGTGCTGAATATTTTGCTCTGGACATGTCACATACAGAAAGTGGAAAGTAGTAAGTAGGTCCTTGACAGGCTCTGAGTGGAAATATCTGCAAGACACAAATGGAATTAATCTAATTGTAAATAAGTATAGGAAGGGGCACAATAAATGTGAAATCTAATTAAAAAAACCCAACAGTTGAACTACATCCACATCTGAATCACTCTGTTACATTTTTGTGACTACATTTTGTAACTGAAAAAAATCTAAATTTGCAATCTTATCAATATGAATGACTTGCAAAAATAGCAGGGAATGACAAAACACAGGCTTCGATGAAGGAAAGCCTCCCTGGACTGTTGCTAAAGAAACACTTTCCTTTATTAGTATCCTTTGTAAGACTAAGTAACTAGGCATCAAGCAAGTCAACAGGCTTTTGTACCATCATGGTGCAATTTGCTGAACGGACTTTAATTCATGCTGACACATGTGGTTAACGGCATTACTGGTTTCAGCAATACATTAATACAGTTCGTTTCATTAATAAGTCATGTAGATGTTTTGCAGACAATCCGCATAAAAGCCAAGGGAAGAAAAGAGAATCAGATGTGCCAGTTGCAATATTCCTCCCTAGGCTTATTGCCTGTGCATGTTTCATTCCGTTGCCCTGGAGCATTTGAACCGAAGTCAGTTGGAAGAGCATGGTATACATCACAGAATTTCCTTGAAGTGTCAGCGCATGTATTTTTCACAGTCCAAACTGTTCTCAAAGGATGATATCAAGACTGTTTTTCTCATTTTTTAAAAAAGAAATAGCTTTAAGATACCCGAGTCTGAGAAATCTATGTCTTGGCACGTCATGGACAGTGGAATTGTTTTGTTCTTTTAAAAAATTACTCAGTTGTTATCTCGTGCATGTTCTCCATCATATGCTATCTGAATGCAGGCTGGTAAGCACATGTGCCACCTGAGTCTCCTGAAGGCTTGAGCAACAGGCAGGTGTTGTGCTACCCAGCTGCACAGGGCTGACTTTCCCACTCAGAGCCTAGCAGTGTGCCAGACACTTTGCTGCGTTCAGTGCCAGTGTGCATCTACATTTAGTTCTGTTTTGCTCAACTTCAGCAAAGATCAGCTAATGTATTTTAACTAAAGAAAGCATAACATTTGTTATGTCTATGGCTGTCATGTACTGCTGCACGGTACACCTCTTTACAGCCTACTGAATTTGCCAAAGAAAAAGTGGGTTATCATCAAGGGTTCTGTGATGTTCTGAGCATGGTTAGGAGAGAATACCCTCAGCAGCATCTTGAGATTTTTTTGAATTACAGACCTGCATCCGTCTATCTGCTCAAGATACAGTTTAGAGGAGAAAGGTAGAAGTTTAGTTTCAGTTGCAAGACTTGTATTTTTTTTGTGTGTGTCAGACACAAATAGAGGAGTTGCTGAAGTTGAAGGGCCTTTATAATTACAGGCATCCTTACTGCATTTTGGTCCACCAGAGTGGAAATTTAAGATTTCTTATTTATTCTAATGCCAAGAATATACCAGGTGATTTGCACATATAAGGAAGTACATGCCTTCTGCAACAAAAAAATAGAATTAATTTTTCTCAAAAGACTTACATCATCTTTAAATCTTCAAAAACTACACAGATAACCCCGTGGATTTGGAAACCGAGTGGTGACTTCACTCTAAGATGAACCCAGAAATTTTACTCTCAGCCTACCTGTAATAAAATCATTACTTTAGGACTAGTGATTAGCATGCTTTAAGAAGCTGCTGATTGGTGACGACAGATTAAATCATGATGTCTTCAGAAAATATAGGAAATCTTTCATTTACAACAAAAAAGAATGCAGTCACTAGTCTTGATACTTTTAAAATTGATATATTGCATTAGTTTTCTCCTTAAAGGAAAGTTAAATAATGATGTTTTACATAGGTACATACAGGAGATCAGATGCAATGTAAAGCAAGCATACGGGTTTTATGTGAATGTAAGATTAAATTCTAAGTTTATACATTTGCATACTATATTTCTGGACCTGAACGTGAGGAGGATGAATTGTTATCAGTGGTTACTTATGTAGCTTGTAAGTAATGCTGATCACCATGATAGAATTTAACATATGTTTTTAATTATTTTATTTTTTTTTACAGAGGCATTCCGACAGATTTGTCCATTTGGAATTGGCATCCTTGTTGGACCTGGTGATGCAAGACTGGGTAAGTGTCTGCACTGCACAATGCTGTGGTTGCATCAATATGCCATTTTCTACCCATAAACCATTCTCCCTTTCAATTGAGAGTAACGTCTCTGCAGCTACTTCTAAAAGCCATGAATTGTGGAAACTTCTATACTTTTTTTTTTTTTTCAATTATTCATACCAGTTTTAAATTCAAGCTTGAATATCTCATAATTCAGAAATTAAACTTCTTTTATAGTAGCATATTTGGCTTGTTAATGTCTGCTGAGCAGAGTTGCTGGGAAACTTATGAAGGATTTAGAGAATGGATCACATAGCATACCTGTCTTTTCTTATGCAATATATGTAGCCTGTTTACAGTAAATGGTTTTAATCCTCTAGAAGTGCAAACCACAGTTTCCCAGTTCCCTTCAGTACATCCTGTTCTCTCCCAAGACAAACAGCACTTCAGCCTTATTGGCAAAAGTTTTCATTTAAGGAGCGCTGCATGACTACTGCTTTTCATATCTACTCTCCCTGTAGCCCCAGTCAGAAAGGGTTTTTTTATCTGACATTTAGAATCAGTTTCTTTTCTGCATTCTCTGAAAGCTGTCCTGCAAGACAAAGTCTATGCCCTCATCCTAATATATCAACATTCAAATACTAGTACTTTTTTGTAATCTCTGGAGTATTTCTCCGTAGAAATAAACTTGTTCTTTGAGAGAAGTCTAAAACCACATGAAATCAATTGCACTTACTGTGTTGTTTGTGTTTCTGGTTAAGATGTGGATGAGTGTCTTGATCCAGATAACTGTAAATTTGGGCAGTGTATCAACACAGATGGGTCCTTCCGCTGTGAGTGTCCATATGGTTACATACTACAAGGAGCTCAATGTGTGGGTAAGTATAGCTGTTTCAGCTTCCATTTTAAAGCATCTCCTGAATTGCTAAGTATGGCATTAAGGAGTAGTGGGGTTATATTATTCTCATTTTGTGGAGTCTCCATATCCGCTGATGCTTAAAACCTGCCAGGGCAGGACCTGAGCAGCCTGCTCCAAGCTGGTCCTGCTCTGGCTGAGTGTTTGACCCAGGTAACCTCTAGCAATCCCAAATTCTGCTAGGTGTCAGTGACTCTAATTAAGTAACTTAATTAGATTTTATATTTTTGTGGGTTTTTTGGTTGTACATCAACAGATTTTATACCTTTTTAGTTGAGTATAACCGTGTATTCTTGCCTTGATTTAACTGCTTGCAGATACTGATGAGTGTGCTGTTGGAAACCCATGTGGCAATGGAACTTGCAGGAATGTGGTGGGAGGTTTTGAATGCACCTGTGTTGAGGGATTTGAGCCTGGACCAATGATGACCTGTGAAGGTGAGACTCCCGTGTATTAAGGACTGTCACTGTAGTTGTTTGCTGAAAAAGTTTCCTGATTTCAGAGACTATTGAGGAGAGTAAAGTGACTTAAAAAGAAAAATATGGACATTTGGAACAATACATCTTTACCTGAAACAGAAAAGTAGGTTCCTCTTCCTGTACCCACCTTGAACTGTGGTATCTTTTTCTAACTGGAGGTTGGGTGAACAGGCTTTCAGGTAGTATCTGTTAAGGGACTGCCCAGAGAGGAGCATACCGAGATATGGTCTCTCCAGAACAGTCCCCAGAAATGCTGCTTATTGTGTGTATGGCTTTTGCTTACATCCTCGATGACCCTTGAGTAAAGAGAGTCACTGTGGATGATGAAAATAGAAAATGGGCTGCTCGGGTTTGTTAGGGAAAAAAACAGGAAACAAAACAGAAAATATAAATGCAGTACTAGGCAATTACCATGGTACCCCCTAGGTTCGATATTTTCCATGCTCTGGTCTCTCATTTCAAAAATAAAAATTTGAAAATGCACAAAGAGGGGAGGAGTAAGGAAGATCAGAGTCATAGCAGGGACACACAGAAAATTAATTAGACTAGAATTTTTCAGTGTGGAAAACGTGGTTGAAGAAATACATGATTTAAATTTATAAAGCCACAAGTGGTAAAGGTACCAAAAATAGAGGGAACGTGTTAGACAAAACCAAAGCAAACATTTTTATATGCATAGTACTTCAGTTGCGGAACTCTTTGCTGCAGAATATTAGTGAGGCCACAAGTATAAATTGACCCAGAAAGAGATTGTACAAATTTCTGTGGGAATCCGTCAGTGGAAATTAAGCTTTATAGTTTGGTTGTGGCTTTTGGCTGTGGAAGTCCTTAAACTGAGAGGCTGTGTCAGGGGAAAGGTCTCTGCATACATAGTATGGGGTGTTTTAATATCTCCTCCTGTTACAATCAGAGAGGAGAACGTCCTAGGACATTCTGACACTCTCTTCAGAGTGACCTGACACAGCTGTTCTTAAATTATCTGCCACAATCTATTTGTTTGCAAGCCCGTACAGAAGAACGCTTCTACTTTTGCATCAGCTTGCATTAGTTTTATATACAGTTAGAGCTTCATTCACTTCCCTGTGGAATTTGGGTGAAAGCTCAAATTGCAGCGGAGTTGTTAGTGGAGTACATAAACATCATCATAGAAGAGGAATTACTCAGGTAGCCCAGAGCGTATGTAAATGCACTTCAGAATAATGTTTCTAGTAAGGATATTGTTTTACAGAATTCAGTTTATGAAGAAGCTGAATTAGTGCATCTAGAATTTAAAAATAAAAACCAAGCCTAGATGTGGAAAAGATACAGTTTAAACTGAGACAGTATTTTGGCAGCGTGGATCTTGAAATTAATTCCGTTGGCTGCTTGCCATTGAAGATACTGAAACTTCAGGTAGCTGTGCAAACATCCTGGCATCTGGTGCCTGCTTCTATACAGAAATCCATAATGAGTAGAACCAAGGGTCCCCAACTATTAAAATTTAGCCTTCAGTAAACTGGGATCTGTGGTATTGCCCATACCTAAAACCTGTGCGCTCAAGTCTGCTCAGTTTCACAAAAGGATGTTTCACTTTCCCCATGGTCTTTGTTGCTCCAAATCCAGATGTCAACGAGTGCATTCAGAACCCTCTGCTCTGCGCTTTCCGCTGCGTGAACACTTACGGATCCTACGAATGCAAGTGTCCCGGGGGGTATGTTCTGCGAGAGGACCGGAGGATGTGCAGAGGTAAAGCTCCTGCCACGCTCTCAGTTAGGAGATAATGATTTCAAGTTCCTGCAGGGGTGGGGCTCTGACTCAGTGCACTATTGGGGCAGAGTTTTAATCCCAGGAAGTAACTGAGTCAGAAAGAATTTGGGATGAAATGCGATGGTCTGCATTATGCGGTTGACTGTATTAGCCCTGTCCTGCCCGTAAACCCTAGACATCTGCATAAAGTGAGGCCATATCAGATGATACGGTTTTGTCTTGCCCTGAAAATGGGCATTTGGGAAAATTCAATTTGCTCTAGTCTAGTATATCTTATGCTTAGTTTAGCACAATAAAAGTATGTGTAGAATTTGATTACAATTGAAATTCCAAAGTCAGAATTTACTCTTGTGAATTTTCAGGATCATCTCTCTATATAATGAAATCTAAACCTTGTGTTTTAGATCAGAATGAGTGTGAAGAAGGAATTCATGACTGCGACTCAAAACAGATGGAATGCAAAAACCTAATTGGCACCTACATGTGTATCTGTGGACCAGGTTATCAGCGCAGACCAGACGGGGAGGGCTGTATGGGTAAGTGACACTCAAGTGTTGATGCTCTTGAAACGTACAGTTCCTCAGCAGAACTGAAAATTTTGAATTTAACAAAGCGTTAAGGAACTCGGGGGAAGAATTACACAGCTCCCTGTATAGTGGATCTACCGGTGCTGTACACATTTTGCTTTGCTGTTCAGGCGTGCACACAGGTGGGCAGTAAGTAGAAACTCTGGATGTGGCTGTCTTCACAATCAGTTTGTACTGCTTGATGCTGAATGGCTCTGAGTGAAGAAAGTGGAGAATTGGGCCCTTTGCTGTAAACTTGTTTATCTCTGTTAGTGTGAATGAGAGTAGATCTGAATCGTTTTGAAACTTTGAACAGCCTTCAGAAGTGCAGGTGTAACTATGAAAAATTTTGAAAACTAGTGAGGAATATATTGCAGAGAAAATGTAGTAACAAAATATATAATATTGTGAGCCAGATGGTCATCTTTTCTCTGAAAATTGAATAAAAGAGACTTTTTATTTAGAAAAAAATAATTATGGAATTTCTTTAACCAGGCAGAATACACAGTTTAAGAACCCCATACAAACTTCTCTAACCTGCATTAATCCAGTAATGGACTTGTTTTTTGTCATATCATTTCAAAAACAGATGAGAATGAATGTCAGACCAAACCTGGGATCTGTGAGAATGGCCGTTGTGTAAACACAGTGGGAAGTTACAGATGTGAATGCAACGAGGGGTTCACTGTCAGTGATGCCCAGAACGAGTGCCTTGGTAAGCTGCACCTTAACGCCCTAATGAACTGTCACTTCGATGGCAGAAATTCCAGTTGAAATTAAACTCAGAAATGTATAGTGAGTAAATGTCCTCTTGAATTTGTATGCCTTAGGGAAGGGGCCTTTGTAAGTGCCCTCCTGCAAGTTCATTCTTCCCATGCTGACTGTATGCCTGCTTCAGTCTGTCGGTTGGGTTGACTTGCTGTGAAAGCTGACTGGTAGCTTCAGTCAGCTGGGAATTGCTCTGTCTTTGCTTTGATCCTGATTTTCAGCCCGTCCTCCTTCTCTGGGTTCAAACAGAAACATGTATTTCTATAAGCATAATGTAACTTTGTCTTCCACCTTGTGCTAAATTTCCTGTCTTACTTGTTTCCCTTAGACATCCTGCTCTCTTTCTTACTACTGGTAGTCTTTGCTTCTCGGTTCCACAGTCCCAGGGTGAAGTATGCCCTTTCTTTTATATTTCTGACTAAATTCCCAATATCTCATGACCCTCTGGAGGTCGTTAGGATTCTCTGTGATGCATAATTTGTCTTCCAGACAACAGGGAGGGCTACTGCTTCACTGAAGTCTTACAAAGTATGTGTCAAATCGGATCAAGCAACAGGAACTCTGTCACCAAGTCTGAATGCTGCTGTGATGGTGGCCGAGGCTGGGGGCAAAATTGTGAGGTCTGCCCCTTCCCAGGCACCGTGGCCTTCAAGAAGCTTTGCCCACATGGCCGAGGATACATGTCTAATGGAGCAGGTACTGGCTTTTCTATTAAAGGCTCTCTGCCAAATTAAGTGAAATTACAAACTCTCTTTTTATGTATTTGAATGCTGTGAGGTCCTAAATATTCTGCACATCAGTCAAAATTTCTGAGGGAGTACAGTCCTTTGGGAGGGTGCATAGCCAAAGGCCCTGGATGACAAGGCATCCATGCCAGCTGGAGAGAGATTTATTTTGCATGCTGGCTGACTGACGTGCATTTGAATGTGTTGTAGGTACAGATTAAGAGCTGTTTGTGTACATGTAAGCAAAGTGATGTTTGATTTATGGAGGCTAATATATGATCAGCTCCAGTTTTTCATTTCCACTTAATGCTTCATTGCATTTGAAAGTTAGATTAATGCTACATTCCATATTTTTCCACTTAATATTTCTCCTTAATCTGTGCAATATTTCATTATTTTATGTAATTTTTCTGTTTTATGTAGGGTGTGGGTTTTTTTCACATCAGGTCACAAGAATCTATTGAAGTTGTATAAAATCAATTCTTGTTCTTTTGTAAACTAACCCTGAATTAATTACAGATATTGATGAATGCAAGGTTATTCATGACGTCTGCCGTAATGGAGAATGCATCAATGAGAGGGGATCTTATCGTTGTCATTGTAACCTTGGCTATACTACAGATATAACTGGCACTCTTTGCATAGGTAGGTTTTTCACTACGGTGTATATATATAAAGTTTATTACGAAGTGGTGACTTGCAGAAGGAAATACAAAGATTTTGAAAAGTGAGAAAATGTCATTCCTTAGGATGCTTTGATATTTATTTCCGGAGCATTTTGAAAAACATTATCACAAATCTTAGTTATCAGCACTGAGGTATCTGGTTTTGCTTCCTCTAGATCTGAATGAATGTAATGAGTCCCCAAAACCTTGCAATTTCATCTGCAAAAACACAGAGGGGAGCTTCCAGTGTTCATGTCCTAAAGGGTACATCCTGCAAGAAGATGGGAGAAGCTGCAAAGGTAAAAATCAAGAAAATGATTTACTGCAGAAACTCTTGTGTTTCATAGGCAAATACAAGGACATTTAAATGATATAAATCTGTCCCCTTGATTCCTGTGAGTATTTCCACTGAAGACAGTGGAAGTGGCCTGAACAGGATGGAGCTGGTGTTTCAGTTAGTTCTTCGATATTCCACATGAACAGTAGATCCAGAGGAGTTTTTGTAGGCTGATGGCAGCGAATCTTAAAAGAGTTCATAACCAATAGTAGATACGCTTGGTCTTGTTTTGGTAAGCACTGTTGGTTTGAGCCGTTTTTTTCAGTGAAACAAGTGGTTGCAAAGAGGAGCATGGTTTGCAGTGAATTGTCCGGCATCAACAGAGTTTTAACCTACCACATCTGTAACACGCTAAATAAGGGACAGCAGTGCAAGAGAGATTTTGGAATGTTCATAATTTCATTTATTTATGTATTTTGGTAGCAAAGATCTGACTGAAACCACACAATTTAGAGCAGCAATTTTAAACTTGGCGTTGGAAATGACAGTGTACTTTGTCATTAGGTTTAAATATTTCTTTTGAAATAATAGCATGCTTCAGTGCAATACCATTTTGCAGTCTGCCACTGCTTCTCATGAAGATGGTGACTTCACATTTATTGACTGCAGTAAGAGCAGACGTTTATTATGTGACAGCATTTTTCAGACAGATGAGTGGTGTATGTAATCCAGCATTGGCATGGACACTAGTGTAGCTCCAAAGTCCCATTCGTTATGGGGCTTCATATGAGAGGAACTGGAAGCCAATGTGGAAAGTGAGATGTAGGTTCAAAAGGCTCTACTTGATACATTATTTATTTGCAGTCACTTCTCTCTAAGTCCAGCTGAACTGTCAGATCCTCCACAGGGAACATAAGTGAAAGATATTTTCTTGGGTTTTTTTAGATCTTGATGAATGTGCAACAAAGCAGCACAACTGCCAGTTCCTTTGCGTCAACACTATTGGGGGTTTCACTTGTAAATGTCCTCCTGGATTCACTCAGCACCATACAGCCTGCATTGGTAAGTGGCATAGGAACATAGACATGGATTTGGGATTTATTACTGACTCTTATTCCAGAAGCAAAGTAGGAAGGAGGTGAAATTGGCTTTCTGAGAAACCAAATGGAAACACAGGCCAGGTTCAGATACCGTCCCACCAGATGAGAAGATGCAAAGAGGCCCTTCATCCCACATTCCCTTGTTTTCATAATCTTTGTCTTTGAATTTTATACTTGCAGGAATCAGACAGTAAAACCACCAATTTGTAATTCTTGCCTTACCCTTTATTACCCATTGAGCAAAAAAAATAGTTACATTTCTGTTCTTGTAGTTCATTGCAGGACTCACATTAGAGGTCAAGGCTTCTTGAAACAATAAGCATGAAACAAATTTCTGCAGTTGCCCTTTAAACACACCCATTATGTCTGTGGAAATGTAGTACTTCCTGCAAAACACTTTTTCTGCTCTGCAAGTTGGATGTTGCTTGTGGCAATCTGATGATCCTGTGGTATTGGTGTGAATTTGGGGGTGTTTAAAGACTAGAACTTCAAACTCCATGTTCCTGGTGAAGAAAAGAAGTGTGTCCCTTCCCATAGGTATTGTTAGTGTTTTCAAATTAAAAAGAAGGTAACGTAAGCTCTCCTTCTGTAGTGCAAAATAAAAGATGGAGAGGGCAGTAAGACAGCTGCATTATCGCTGTTGCTTTACCTCTTGTCACAAACTGTTCGTTGTTGGCGTTGCTAAATGGTCTTCTTCACAACAAGGACTAAAAAGTAACACTCGGGCTTTGCTGTTTTTCAGATAATAATGAGTGTGCTACTGAAATCAATTTATGTGGGGCGAAGGGCATTTGCCAGAATACACCAGGAAGTTTTGTTTGTGAGTGTCAACGTGGCTTCTCACTCGATCAAACTGGGCTTAGCTGTGAAGGTAGGTACAACACACAGTGCATTTAACTTGGCCTTCTCCTGCGTTCCTTCATCTTCTCTCAGCCATACTGTCGTCCAGGGAGGGACCTATGGAGTAAGCACCAAAACCTATGGGGTAAGCATGTGTAGATTGAAGGGGAGTGGGGTATGGACATTAAGCAACAAGGTAGTATTTCCATGGGCCTGAATAAATAGATATATTGTGGGATGCTAAAGAGCTGGACAGATATTTTTGGAGGAGACTTCAATTTAGCCTGGAATGTTTAAGTTTAACCATCATAAGTTCAGAGAACTTCCCTTGAGTGGATTTCTGAAGCACTCGCCAATGACAGGAAGGAAGTCTTGCATCTCCAAGACAGCCTGCTAAGGAGAAAATTCAAAGGCTGCAGACTTTATTCCTCTGGGTCCCTAGAGCCTCTAGAGCCTTCTCCTGGGATGGAGTTTGGTTTGTCTTGAAAAGACATATCCTGGGATTCCTGGTTTGGATGTTTGACTAAAAGCGTGGAACTGTCAGCTGTGGATCTGGGAGACTTAGGAAGCTGGGAGCCTTAGAAAAGCCTTGGGAGTCCCATATACAAATGGCTTTTTGCTGTCTCTTCCATAACAGAATGCAAAAACCCCTGAGAAGTGTGATTGAATTTGAGCTTTCAGTGGTTTTCAGCTCTAAGTTACTTGTGGTGGAGCCAGAAATCCAAACCTGAAAGGCCCAAAGTGGTCTCCCAGCACTAGTCTGGTTTTGGAAGATCCTGAAATATACCTCTATATATATGATTTATGAATATGATTATTTGTAACATATTTTTCAAATATAGCTTAATTTGAGCTTCTCTCCCAAAACTCAGAGTGTATCTCACCTTTTTAGATGTTGATGAATGTGATGGAAACCACCGATGTCAGCATGGTTGCCAAAATATAATTGGAGGATACAGGTGTAGCTGCCCACAAGGATATCTCCAGCATTACCAGTGGAACCAATGTGTTGGCAAGTCACTTTTTAAAATTCATACATAAAAATTCATGTTACCTTTGTTAGCAGCAAGATGTGAAGGGAAATGTTGCAGTTTGCCATATTTTCTTTTTCTGATGATAGTTTAATAAGTTCAGTTGAGTTTCATTACAAACTTGTGCTCCTGTGAAAGGCAGAGTGGATATGAAGCACCCAGTAGCCTTTGTCGTGGTTTGATTCGTGTTCAAGCACAAAAGTGCTAGAAGTGGTATTGACTTTGAGGGAACTTGTGTTACTCCTGTATTTTGTGGTCTGAACAAGGCAGTCTTACTCAGCTGTGCAACAATCTCTGCCCAGACACAGGTCCTGTCTGAGAGCTGATGGTGGGTTGAACCTGGCAGATGCAGAACCACAAGTTTGGATTGTTGAATTGTAAAATTAAACTTTTGGCCCCAAGCATCTAAAATTGTATTAAAATCCTACTTGATCTGTGCTACTCTTACAACACCTATAGGAAGGCTGCTGTGTTTAAGCTGCTTCTCAGTACAGAGTTAACCATTTGTCATATTTGAGCAAAGCTACTACTCTCTGTCTAAAGATGCTTCCTTGCAGCTTTAGGATACAGTTTATACAAGTGTTTGCAGGACAATTCTGGTTTTAAATAACAAATGCTAGTGCTCTTTATTTATGTTAAGAAGTAAATACACTGGTGAATTACAATGCTGATTTCTTCTTTGTCTAAACTTTGGTTCTATCCAAGTCTCCGAGCCCTCGTAGATGGGACTGCATGTGCAAAGCATTGATGCTGGGTATGACTTGAGCAGACAGAACTGGGTCCTCTGCAGCAGTCATGGGAAAAGTCTGCGTGTGTTTCAGCAGTGTAGCATGTAGTATATTCAAACGAGAGAAGCATCAATCATTTTTCCTCTAGTGACAGTTATGTGCATTTTTAGTCACATTTAATAGGCTTCATACAGGCTAGTCTTGCATGGATACCCGGAGATGCGTGACCTCTTTGAGAACAAAGGGCTTCATAACTCTTTGTTTGGCTTTCTTTGCTTTCAGAAACATAAAAATGCCTTTGCTTGTTATCACTGTGATGCTCTAGGGAGGTCTCTGCTTTTAATTATGCTTACCAAACCTCCTGACATTTTATACAGTCCTTGCTGTGACATTTGCTTGCTTGTGTTCATGCTCCAGTACTCTATGCCTGTAACATACAAGAGAACAAGGAGGGACTGCAAATATATGGTGGTTTTGAATATTAATTAAATTAGCAAATTTTAGGGTTAAATTATAATTTAATCTGCAGGAGGGTAGAAAAAAAACAAAGCCCAGGACTGTCATGTCTGGCTGCTGAAGGACATTATGGAATCTGAAAAAGTGCAGCCCTCAGTTTTGTGAAACATCTTGGCTTTTTCCAAGTCTTCCTGGGTGACAGCATTTAACTAAGTGTATTTCCAAACCAGGTGTACCCTGTTATTCCAGCTTTTGAGCCTATTGACTCCTGGTTAGATTTTATAAAAGGAATATCAGTCTCAAAATGCACAAGTATTTCCCCCACTGAAAGAAAGGCTTCAGCCTTGGCACCGCAAGTACCCATCACCAGAAACTTCACCAGGGAAAATTACACTGAAAGCCACCACTGGGGAAGGACTCAGCTAGCACTTCCACCTTCTTGGACATAGGGCAGTCCAGGCAGAAACTCAGAACTGTGGGGCTTGGTTGAGGCTTGGTTTCCTCTGTCCTCACGGCGTCTCTCCTTCCTGCCAAAGCTGAGCACTACATGTTGTAGAGCAGAGAGCCCAGGAGAGCAAGGCTGGTGCCTGACTGCACAGCTCATGCAGAGCCTGAGGCTCCCATAACTGTTTGTTTCACTTTTTTTTCATTATTTTCTTCCAACAACCATGCAAAATACGGGAACTAACCTCACTAGTTTCCACATTCTTGCTGCTGTGGAGTGAGGCGAAGTGAACGTATCTCCTCATGGTGCAGTAACTCTCTGCGTCCCAAAAGTGCATTTATGATGTTGACATAATTGCTGTGTTACGTATGACAAACATTGAAGCATCACTTTAAGTTAATGGCAAAACTCCTACAGGCTTTGGTAACACAGAATTCCGTCCCAGGTTTTAATACCTTGTGGTCTCCACATGTTCACATTGTAGCGTCTGTAACTGTATATGCTTAAGATACTTATCTAGATCTCCTGGGTATACCACAGGGGAAGAATACATGTAATAGGTTTTTCCGTGACAATTCCTTCATATTCCTTGGCAATCCCCATTCTGCAAACAGTTTGTGTCTTTTTTAGCTTATTTAATGAAGTGTTCAGGGACTTTTGATGTTGCTGCAACGCATATTTAGATAATCACTGAAGAATGCTTTGGTTCCTCCCATGTCTTGTGCTGTGTGTGACTGCATCTCCTGCCCAGGCAATTCTGTAGTGCACCATGCTGTAAATCAGGCTGCAAGAAGCAAAGACTTTCCTTTTAAACAAAGAACAAAAGGCCACATTGTTTGGAAAAAGACAATTATGCTCTGAATTAGTACTTATTCTCCTGTAACCTAGATGCTTAGGTCAGAGATGCTGCTCTGTGCTTTACATTTTATCCATACCGCGTCCAGATGGCATTTCTTATGCACGTACAGACGCATGCGATGTGCATATGCAGTTGTTTTATCACAGAAAATGGGGAACAATAGCATTCAGAATGTTTCAAAGCAGTTTGCTACATCAAAAAAATTCAGACCGTCTCCATTTAAAAAACTAGCCATTTACAGTAAATAAGCCTGAACTGACCTTGAACTCCTACAGTGCTGCACTTGGGGAAGTTTGGAAAAAGGCTGGCTCAGAATGTGGCAGTCTTGTATCTACAGCTGCTTTTATTTTTACTTTACTATTTGTTCCTGTACCTTACCTGTACCTCACATTTAAATGTGAGTGTGTAGGGGGAGGGATTTTCAGTGCCTGGAAGAGGTGTCAGATCTTGCTTCCTTACTCTTTTTCCTTTAATGTTGAATAGCATTATGAACATGGGATTACTGGGCCAGACTGTTGGCTGTACAAAGTTTTATTCTTCTCAGTTGTTTCTGGAACAAAAAAAAAAGTTGCCTCCTCTGCTTCTCTGCTCTCCAGAGCATGAGCTGACGTGGCATGAAACATCTGTAGAGTAGCCCAAATGTTGCTCTGTTTTATGGTTGTAGTCATCTCCTGGCGACTGCTGCCCTAGCCAAGGGTGAGGCCAAGCCCTGTTCTCCGTTTCTGTCCATCCGATGTGGCAGCACGTTTAGCAACAGTCAAGCACAACCTTTCTGAAGGGGTAGGTTAGAGTACACCTGAGAGTAAAAGTTAATGTGGTATGTTCTGTTTCTTTTCCAGATGAAAATGAATGTCTCAGTGCACACATTTGTGGAGGAGCATCTTGCCACAATACTTTGGGAAGCTATAAATGTATGTGCCCTACCGGATTTCAGTATGAACAGTTTAGTGGAGGTTGCCAAGATATCAATGAATGCGGTTCTGCACAAGCCCCATGCAGTTATGGTTGTTCAAATACTGAAGGTGGCTATGTCTGTGGATGTCCACCTGGTTACTTCAGAATAGGACAAGGGTAAGGGATTCTCATTTTAAACTAACAGACATAAAGGGGACATAATCCACTCCTTTCTCTGTAGTGTGGAGCAGCAGAACCGGGGGGATTGTCACCAATGAAAGAGGGGTAGGATTGTGGAGGTGCTCGAGAGTTGGATGCACCTGCTGATTTTGGAGATGAGAGAGGGGAAAGGTAACCAAGGCAAGGGAGCAGTGTGGTTTTAATGCTTGATGAAATTTGGTCAAGCCTACCAGGTTCAATCATCATTTTCAAGCTACTGCTTTCACCTCCTGCACCCCCCAGCAGCTAGATGAGTTCTCTGAGCTTGCCACTTGGGAGCCCACACACCTCACTGTGATTTGTGGTGTATCACTTGTCTGCTTTAAAAAATAATAAAATTATAACAACACCCCCTGCCAGCTCCAAAGACAAACAATATTATACAAGTGGCTTCACCCACTGGTTAGAATAACAGTTCTATATGCTCTTACGTTCTTACATGTTCCATATTCTTCTGTGTTCCAAATGAATTTTTAAATAAATGTCTGCTTTATCAAGAAAACCAATTTTCACTTGTCCCGATGGTAGTGTTAGGGTTGTGCATCTTGTAGGACCAAGCAACTCGGATGGAAAGCAGAAAGATTGCGGCTTAAATTGTACAAGTGACTAAAAACTTTGGGATATGTTATGAAAGACCTCATTTTTTAGATTTTTCAGCAGTTTCTGAAAAATGGTCTTTTTTAATGTATTCCAGGTTGGATAACAAATTACTAACAACTCCTCATAACTAAAGCCTGTGTTTGTAAAACTCTTAAATATTGGCAGGCCTCTCTTAGGCAAAGCTTCATGGAGCTAGGTTCTTGACATTAGAGGCAGCTGCATCGTGATTCAGTGAGAATTTTGTCTGTTGACATCAACAGAAATTCTTCCTAGGAAATGAGGGCAACATAATTGCTTTATTATTTGTATTCATAGCCCCCCAAATTCAGCTTTTGATATCTATGTCTCACTGGAATTAATTTTTAATTTCTTCCTTCCTCAGACACTGTGTTTCTGGAGTGGGGCTAGGCAAAGGTCAAGGACAAGAACTTTCACTCAGTGGAGAAGTAGATGACAACTCCCTTTCTCCAGAAGCTTGTTATGAATGTAAAATCAATGGCTATCCCAAGAGAGGAAGGAAGCGCAGAAGCACTAATGAAACTGCAAATGAAGCAGAGGTAATTGACCCTTTTTGGGCGAAAGGGTTTGCGGTTGTCTTGTGAAAACCAGTCTCAGAAGGTGGTGTGTCGGGAGACAATCCCACAGGAAAAATGTAGACTGAAGAGTTTGGGTTGGGATGTCATGTACTCTGTGTGTGGGCTTTCTGAAGTTGTTCACTGTCATAAGGCAAAGGTCATCCTCTGAATATCTATGTCGCATCAAACACCAAAATAAATGCCCATTCAGCTGTCTAGCGAGCAGTCCACTCACCAGAAAATCAGGGTCTTGATGTCAGAGGACAGTGGTATGTAAAATGTTTGTGTGACCTTGTGGCCAGAAAGGCAGGCCGTGGTGGTCAGGGTGGATGCGGACCCTGCCAGGCAGCACCGTGTGGAGTGTCTGGGGCCGGAGCCCTCTCCAGAGCAGATGCAGAGCTCAGGACACAAACACCTCACCTGAGGTTGTCCAGGGCTGCTGCCCTTCCCGGGGCTTGCCCAGACCCTTGCAGTCAGTCACCCGGGTTGCTGGCCCGGGGCCGAGGCTGCGCACAGGGCTCGCCGCTGGCCCGGGCACCAGAACAGGAGGCAGAGCTTAGTTTGTCATTACTAGAGAGTTGCTGGGGAGAGAGGCAGGTTTCCATTTGCCTACAAGGGAGATAATTGTGTCATCTGTACCACACATCTATGCTCCAGAGGCCACAAGGATGATCAGAGGGCTGCAGCACCTCTCCTGTGGGGACAGGCTGAGAGAATTGAGGTTCTTTGGCCTGGAGAAGGTTCTGGGGAGACCTTCTAGTGACCTTCCAGTACTTAAAGGGGGTACAGGAAAGATGGGGAGGGATGTTTTACCAGGCATATAGTGAATAGGACAAAGGGTAACAGTTTTAAACTGAAAGAAGGTGGATTTATATTAGATATTATGAAGAAATTCTGTACTGAGATACTGGCCCAGGTTGCCCAGAGCAGCTGTGGCTGCCCCCTCCCTGGCAGGGTTCAAGGCCGGGTTGGACGGGGCTTTGGGCAACCTGGGCTAGTGGAAGGTGTCCCTGCCCATGGCAGGGGGTTGGAACTCCATGATCTTTAACGTCCCTTCCAACCCAAACCAGTCTGTGCTTCTGTGATTCTATGGCGATGCTTGCACAACTCCCACTTCTTCCTAGCTGTTGTCATTGGCTTTTTTTTAATTAACCAAATATTAGTAGGTGGTTTCAGCACTTTTATTTATGTGAAAAGTAGTCTGCTGTGTGACAGGCTTTGTCTTTATGTAAAGGACAGAGACATCCCTTTTCATTCATCCTTGGGTGTTAGGAAGTATTTATCAAAAAAGCAGTGAAGTAAATCCTTCAGCAAACTCCCCCTGCTGGGGTTTGTTCTGAATTGATCACACCAGTGAGACACAGTGGGATGGGGTGGTTGTGATTGTTTGGTGCTGGAAGCTCCACTAAAAAACACACCTCCCGGTATGAGCTCAGAGGTCATGTGTAATGTTACTGTAGTCCCTCCTGCGCTCAATTCAAACTCCTTGCATTACCTGGGGAGTCTCACACTGACTTATTTCAACTCCTTGTAACCTAAAGTCAGAATTGCCCCGTCTGCTCATCCAGTGCAATGTCCAGCACAAGTCACTGGATTTAAACCTTATTGTTCACATTAATTATATTAATTATATACAGAATTCAGGAAACAGCTTGTAGGAGAAGTGTCACCAAGTCCACAGCCATTTAACTTCTCACTTGTTGATCCAGTCTGAGGTGAGAGAGATGTTAGAGGTGAGGGGACCTGCCCTGCCGTCCCGGAGAAGCAGCAGGTCATGGCAGGTCTCTACACTGTGCAGATATTTGTCATTCAGCTGAAAGTACCTGTCTGAGCGTGCAAATGTGTGTGTGTGTGTCTGTAGCGGCCAAAAAACCCGAGTGACAGTGTTCTCCTTTCTTTCTGCGGGGCAGGGGTCATTTATTTTCTTTAACTCTCTCTCTTTCTTCTTACAATAATGCCCACTTCTACAATAATAACGCACTTAGACTCTCATCCAAGCTCTTACTTCATAATAAGCAAATCAGCAACTAGACAGTCCCCAAGCCTCTCTCTCACAAACAGTTCCATACTTTTCCACAGCTCAGCGTCACAGCTGTCCCTTGTTTTTCCCAGTCACCTTACCCCCTCCTGGCTGTTCCTTACCTCTCTTCCACGGCCCGTTTCTCCTCAAAGCCTTGCTGCTTTCTGCCTTGCAGCTGCACCTCCAAAGGCGTTATCCATTGAGGTTAGGACAGACTTCAGAGAACACAATCTACGTACGATAGTTACAAATCGGGGCACACACGCAGTCTCCGCTGGTCCCACTCTGTATCATCATCTCCGCGTTCTCCACTCGGGCACTGGCAGTCCCCGGGGCCGGAGCAGTGACTGACGCTGTCCCAACTGCCTCAGCAGAGCCCCCCGACAGTCCCGCGCAGCACCGTCACCAACACCGCTGGTAGCGGGAGCATCCACCGGGGTGCAGGGCTGCCTTCCACCCTGGCACAGGGGCGGAGAGCGGATTCAGCACTTGGATTCACCACAGGGGCAGCCACGCAGTGAGCGCCGCCATTTTCTTCACCACACTAGCAGTCCCTCATTGGGTGCTGCCATTTTCTTCTCCACACTGATAGTCCCTCATTGGGTGCTGCCATTTTCTTCACCATGTGAGCAGCGCCTCAGTGAGAGCCGCCATTTTCTTCACCACACAGATAGTCCCTCATTGAGTGCCGCCATTTTCTTCACCACACAGGCAGTCCCTCAGTGAGCGCCGCCATTTTCTTCTCCACACTGATAGTCCCTCATTGGGTGCTGCCATTTTCTTCACCATGTGAGCAGCCCCTCAGTGCGTGCTGCCATTTTCTTCACCACACAGACAGTCCCTCCTTGGGTGCTGCCGTTCTCTTCACCACATAGGCCGTCCCTAGTGAGTGCCACCATGTTTTTCACCATGCAGATGTGTCACGTTCCAAATATAACCAAGGGATTCTGAGCGCTCTTGTAAAATGTGGCCACGCCATCACTATCCTGAGCTAAATGTCACCTGTAGTCCCTGCTCACGTGCGTGCTTTTCCACACACAAATACAGGCGATTCCATTAGGCACTCAGTGCGTGGCACTCTGCTGATACAGGAAGACAGCAGAGTGCTTTTGCCCAGAAGAGTGTGGATGTTTGAATTTGAGCAGAGTGGGTTTGCAAGCTGTTTCTTCAGTGTGTTTCAGTACTCTCTGTGATTACTGCTGGATTTGTCTCAGCGGTGACATAGATCTTCCCTGGCTTTTCAAATGAAAATGTTACAGCTGATGTGCTGTCGGAAATGTTACCGTTCTGCCCCTGCAGCGTGACTCATGCACAGGGGACTCGGAGGGCACCCAGTTACCATCACCCAGAGGTGAGGGGCGACACCAGCACCCCACTGCACCCAGGGGCCGCCCTGGTTCCACACCTAAACAAAGCAAATCTTTGCAAAGCAGAAAACTCCCACCTAGATCATGTGCCTCCCCCACAGACCCTGCTCTCTTCTACAGACTGTTGTTCATGTTAGCTTGTGGTTCCCGTGGTAGAGGGGAGGCGTGTGCCTTTGTAGGACACCGGTGGTTGACTCCAAGCGTGGAGAGGCTTTGTTTGTCAGGCAGAGGGACCCACACACAGAAGCTTTCAGTGCACGTCTCAGGCTGCTGTTACCCACACAGGGGCAGGGACAAAGACTGTACTTTATCCTGACAAGTCCTAGGCCCATAATAGTGGATTTGACAGATGATATTACAGACCCTCCTTTTTAAAAATATCTGACTAATAATGAATGAGCTGGGTAAGAAATACTTACGTGTAGGCACATGTGAAATGGCCTCTGACAAAAGCAACTAACATCGTTTGTTCTTGTGCAGGATCAGCAAGAGCTGGAGCCACCGATCAGTCTCGCCAGCTGGGATATTGAGAAAGCAGCAGTCTTCTCCATCAACATCTCGGATCTCAGTAACAAAGATCGCATCCTGGAACTGCTTCCTGCCCTCACAACACTGACAAACCATAACCGATATTTAATTGACTCCGGAAATGAAGACGGTTTCTTTAGAATCAATAAGAAGGACGGGATAAGTTACCTTCATTTCACAAAGAAGAAGCCAGTGCCTGGAAACTATTCATTACAAATCAGTAGTATTCCACTCTATAAAAAGAAGGAACTTAACCAGCTTGAAGAGAAACATGACAAAGACTACCTCAGTGGTGAGCTGGGAGACAACCTGAAAATGAAAATTCAGATATTGCTTCATTAATTCATCAACCAAAGACCAAATAATTAAACCAAAGATAGATAGGTAGGACTGAATATTCCTCCCAATCAGATTCTCCATATCATAGGTACAATCTTACATGAGTACATTTGTATGAACGAGCACTATTATATTATTACATAAACAAGGTACAGGATGAATACCCTAGCTCAAAACAACCACTTTCTCAGGCTTTTAAGTGTAGCTGAGCTACCTTGATATGTTGAATCTTGAAAACTGGGACTTTTATCATTGGAAGTTGGCCACTGATGCTGAGACACGTCATCATTTCAGCAGAGGTACAAGAATGTGCTTTCAACTGATGGACAGCTCTATTTTTGTAATTCCTAAACTTTGCTTCTCCAACTACAACTTACTAGGTCAGCCATTTATGATATCCATTTGGTGCTAGTAAATTTTCAACCTAGATTTATAAATGCACTGTAATATTTACACAACTTAGAAGCCAAAATTGCCATTATTCAGTCTAAATACTTCAATCAACCAAAGTTAGCTCAGTAGTTTATCTCAGTTATGCCTATAATACAATACATGTAAATTAAGTGTGTGTATACTGTAATCATGCTATTTTTATCAATGAAGCATTTGTAAACTAGATTAATAATACCCTTAATGTGAGGGTTTGTAATGGTGCTTATAAGACCAACTACTTGTTAACTGTATACACAAACCTGATGATAAAATTTCTGTGACTTGCCAAAATGCACTGAGGTCAGTAGGGACCATTAAACATTCTCAAAAGTCAGATGACAATCAGTGCCATCCTACACCATGACATTATGTAACGTGTCAAGAGTACCCACAGTCATTCATATCAACAAGGGTTCAATGTCATAAATGTCACAATAAAACAGTTTTTTTTTTAGTTTATTCTGTGGCCTTGTGTTCTTGCTAAAAGTGTGATAAACTGCATTCTTATGTTTCAGGCATTGTTGGTAGGGTCGGTTGTATATCTGTCTGTGTGCACAGGTGATTTCTCCCTGAAGGTGTGCTGCTGCCATTTGTTCATTCTTCATGCAAAGAAAGAACGGAAGAAATACAGAAACCTTCTCAAATCTGAACAGCAGCGGACCTCTGTCAAATTACTGTGTGCCTCCAGAAAGCAAGTTAGAACATTTCCAATGACCTGACCTGAATAATCCTGCCAATATGTAACTTTGATAGCCAAAACATGCAGAAATGGATATTAAATCATTATACAGAAACCACACTTAATTAATTTGAAAAGTCTTGTTTGCTAAAACTGCCCTGACTTAAGATACTTCATTCTTCGACCCCCGCTTCAACAGCTATTGTCAGATAATCTAAGACTGATAACAAAGGGATAATCCAATACCAAAAGCCATCACAAGATGTAGCTGGGTTTTAATATCAAATTAATTACTCGATGATGCGGGTGTTCTTGTATACCCAAGTGCCGTGGTGTATGTTTTAGCAGCAGCAGAACTTTGTACTGAGGTGTGATGCTATAAAATCTGGAAGAAAAAAATGAATCAAGTGGTGTCACAGAAACTGCTGATTAGACAGCACCGTAGTTGATAGAGGGAACGTATATTGAGCTATAATAGCTTTGGAAGGGAAATGTACTGTAATAATTCACTCCAAATTGTATTATTTTCTGTAATTAGATGTCAGCTCTCTTTGATTTCTTCTGCATAACAGATATAACTATATAAAAAGGAGCTTGTGCACAGGGTTACTTGGATATTTTTAATAGACCGTGTCTGGATTTTATTTATTAGTGTGCCAAAATGTTGAACGGTGTATTTTTTCCACGTGTTGCGTAACTATGGCGAAATATAATCAGAGCTTTACAGTTGTAAATGGCACTCTTATTTCAGCAGGTTGGGAGTGATTTTTAGTGCCAGTGGCAATGTGCAAGATCGTATGGTTTCTAGCTAAGTGTACAGTTTGAGTATTTTTTTTTTTTTTTCTCCAGCCCTTAAAGACTGAGAGAAACTGAGAAGAATGATTTCAGAAAGACCTGTCAGGACTCTGTCCAGTGGAGTTGGTTTAGCATTTAAGCTGCTGTATAACACCTTGATTGTTTTCCAGCAGCCCCAGTGTTGCCTGCACAGTTCTGCAAGTCATCTTTGTTATGCTGCAGAAAACAAGAAAATTTGACAGCATCTCTTTTAGCAATTTAAAAATGGAAAGCCCAGTTTTGCTGTACTGATCTGCACATAAAAATCCATTTTCTTGTGCAATTGTTCATCTGTCTCTTTGCAGCAGTGCCTGTTAACTGGTATGTCATTTTTGCCTGTCAGTCTTAGTTGCTGTGTGCATACAATTATTTGCCTTAGTTTGAATTTTTGCAGTTTCCTTAGATTCTCAGTGAAGCACAAAGGTTGCATAATAAAATTGCACGAGACCTGCAATTAAAAAGTGGTTTGTAACCTACAGTCTGATTTAAAATAATTTCCTCTATTTGATTTGACGGTGAGATCCCAGAATGACTCTAAGCACTAGACAGAGTGAAGTAGAGGTCTTTCTGAATGTGTATCCTTTTGAAATTAAATGGTATTTTTCAAATTCAAGGAAATGGCAAAATCTTTTAATTATTTGAAATAACAGCGTGGCATCCCTACATTGCGATTGTGCGTATGACTCGGCATAGATAATAAATATAATTTTTGGTTAACAGAGTTTAACAAAGATGGCTTGTTACTGTACATATCAAATCATTCTCTTGTTGTCTGTTGTAACAGTATCTTGTAAACTTGACAGCTGACGTGTATTTTGGCAGAACATGTCTGTTTCCAGTCTCCCTTTTAAGATGACTTTCAAAGGACCCAAAGTGTTTGCTTTCTTATGGCAGGTCCCAAAGGGTCGCGCTCAGGTTTTCTCTAAGATAAATATTCTCCTCTGTGATTCGAGTCCAGTTTTGTGCTTTGGAAGAGCTAATCTGGTCAGGACTTCTCAGCACAGACAGCCTGCGCCTTCCTGGGACGGGGTTTGGGCAGCGCCGGCCTCTGCCGGCAGCACCACGCCAGGTAAGCGCGGTACGAGGCAGCCTGGCCCAACCCGCTGCTCTAGGCCAAGCTGGGGGGTGGCGCTGGCATTGCCGAAGCCTTCTTGTTGCTTTTGAAAACTGACATTTGCTGTGAAGGAATTTTTGGGATTCCCCCTTTAAATTGATGCTGTACTTGAACCACTGTAGCCTCACAGCACTCATGTGGATCTGATGGCCTCTGCCAAAACGAGCGGGGTTAACAGCTTATGTTGTGCTGCAGTGCTGCTACTTTTTCTGGGTAGGCACCAGAGAGGAGACCGCTCCTTCCTCTTCCTTCAACTTCACTGCTGTGACAAGAAAATCCTGTATTTTCAGTTACAGAGGGGAAGCCAGAGCTCGGCAGCTGCCAAGGCCGGGGCTGCCTGTGGAGCTGCCGGAGCTGCGTACCCCTCGGTGCCCCCAGCGGCCCTGCGTCGGGTAGGACAGGAGCTGATGGGACACACCAGCTTCCCAAAGCGGGGACGTCTGGGCCTAGGATCTTGCCTGCTTCACCCTCTCCCAGGAGCAAGTCCTTAAGCTTTTCTGCTTTGGTTGGCTTCATGCTTGGAGGAGTGGCCAGCAGCTAAGGCCGAGATACGATGTACAGCAGGTTAATCCAGTAAATCTAGGTTGGCAGTGTCCTACCAGAGTATTCACCCAGCATAAGACCTCATACTATCACAATCTTGGCAAAATAACTCTCAACTAAAACTCTGGTATTCAGAAAATCCCAGAGCTTCTAGTTGTTGTCTGTGGCCTGGGCGTGTTGGATGCCTGCAGAAACCTGCACAGCCCCCGCGCGAGCTCCTGGCGTTACACAGCTGCGTGTGAACTGCGCAACAGCGGTGTGGCTCCTGGGTCACGCTGGTTCTGGATGCTGTGAAAACTTAGGGCAAGCAGGCGGCTGTAATCTGGGGCAAAATATGCCATCATTTTACGCTAACGAAGACACAAATGATTGCAGAGGTTGTGGTAGTAGCAAGAGAGAAAGAAAGATGGAGTGAGGGGGAATGCTGCAGTCATTCCATGGCCCAAGACACCCCAGTGTATGTGGCTTCTGCTTCGCTAGCAGATGCTGGTTCTGCACCAGCCCTGGTGCCCTGTGCTTCTCCTGGCCTGTGACTTGCAGTTCCCCACGCAGGCGCTGCAGTGGCCAGTGGCCACCCCTGCACCACCGCTGCTTCCAAGAGCAGGCAGAGGCACTGCTGGTGCTGCGGAGCGGGCAGCGGCAGGGTTCTGTGGTGCTGCTGTGTTCAGGGTGCGCTTCACCAAGGTCCTTGGTGCCCTCAGAGAGACACTGAGGGCAAGGCCTGGCCCCTCTGGAGTGGGCTGTGTGCTTTGGTTTGCCCAAAGATGAGACCCCTTCCTGTGCAGCAAAACCTCGAAGAGGCTGATGACTTCAGCGCTGACAAATTCCAACAATCTACTTCTGCTGTCCTTAAAACTTGCCAAATATTTCACACCCTTGTAACAAATGCTTTTGAGGAATATCACGCCTAAGCCAACTCCTTGGTTATAAGCTTCCCATTGAGTTCAGCGGAGGAACCTTGAGGCCAGAGAGGTCACCAAACTGTTTGTTTTTGTATTTCAGGCTCTCCTTTCTATTTCTAACACGCCTGTGTGTGGCGCAGCGATGGCAGGAAGCGGCCGTGGAGGCCAGGGCTGCCTGGCCAGCAGGAGTGTGCTGGCAAAGCCGAGCTGTAGCCTTGTATTGGTGCTGGCCAGCCCAGCATGTGCCACTGCTGCTGGTTGGAATACAGCTGGGTCCTCAACCTACTTAGACACTCATACGTGTATGGAGACATTTATGTGTTTTTCTGAAGAATCGACAGATAACTGTATCTCATTGCTTCCACACTAAAGTCACACCGTGCTAAAAACCTTTGCTAGGTGCCCAGGGAGGGCTTTTTCTCCTTCCTTCTCTTGGGCTGGACCCTTCCCTTGCATGCAGCAGCAGTGTGGGCCCAGCCCTCGCCCTGGCTCAGCTCTCACATCTGCAGGTTTGTTTGTTTATGAGCTTCTCTATGGCTCCCAGGGCTGTAGGAAGTGAGCGCCTCGCAGACATGCGTGTTGAGCCTCACTACACCCTTGTGAGGTCGGGATGTGTTTGTCATCCTTGTTTTACAGAACAGGAACCGAGAACCAGATGTTTTGGTTTGGGAGAGCCCATACGCAATGGCCGTTCTGCCAGGAGCAGCCCCAAAGTACTGAGGTGTCCCTGGAAAGGAGAGCAAGGAGCCACATGGGCTCATCAGCCGTGAGAGCCCTGGCAAGCACAAAGCTGTGGGAACTGCCCCTTTGCACTAAAACGGAGCCTGGTGGAGCTCTGGCTGCTCCCCACCCTCTTCAGAAAGCCAGAAAGCTCCAGCACACGTCCCCTGGGGCAGCTGTCCCCATCGGTCCCCCACACAGCATGCTGCCACTGCAGACACAGCAGCACCAGTGAAAAAAAAAAGTAGAGTGACAGTGCCCGGTAGTTTTCTGCTGGAAAAAAAAAAGATTTTGGGTCAGTATCCAGGTCAGCAGGCTGCGTGGAGTTAATCGAAAGCGACACTGCTGGTGAGCAGGACCTGGGCTCTGCCAGCTTCCCCGGCTCGTCTCTGAGGCTGCTGGATGAACCAGCCAGGAAAACAGGGCTACCGCTTAGTTTTCTTTGGAGGTTGATTCTTTATTCCTATCGTTCCTATGTGAGTTGCTTCAGGGTGATTTTTTTTTATTTTTTTTTTTTTTTTTAGTCTGTGACAACCCACGAGAAATCATTTTTTTTAAGCAGCCCGCGTGGGAGCAAGTTTGACTGTAGCTGTAGTGCAGTACACTATTCAGGTGGTAAGCTCAGACAGGTAGGAAAGCTGTCTGGACTTTCTCACTTTGCAATGTTGTGTGTGTGCTTTGCAGCTCTGCATAAATGTGTTGTTATTGTAATCGCGTTAAATACTAGAGCCGTGAGAAATGTCTATAACCAAACCCAAACCAGGTGAAACTTCCCTGGTTTTGGGTTTCATTACAAACTCAAGGCTCAGGCCAGGTTTGTCGAGGTTCATGAACCTCTCTCTGAAGCTGGGCTCAGTTTCAAGCACTCCTGGGCCAAGTTTCAGGCAAATCTGGGCCAATTTTTTGAGTAAATTTGGAACAAATTTTAGGTGAATAAGAGATGAATTATGGTTTTAGGTTGAAACCATATAAACCATGGACTCCTTGCTTGGTTTCAACCTGTAACCAGGAAATCTTGGCACTTTGGCCGAGTTTCACTTTGATTTTGAATTTTGACTGTAAAAACAAAACCAGAGCAAAGAGGTGAGTCCCAAGAACAAACCACGCAGAAACTGGTTCACAGGGTGGGACCCAAAGGCCTGCACTGCACTGAGCACACGCCTGTGACGCCGCACCAGCAGTGGGGCGTCTCCCACCACCGCAGGTGATGCCGTGCGTGTCCGGCCGGCAGCCTGACATGGCTTGTGCTGCCCCAGAAAATCCTTCAGATAATTAAGCTTTCCCCAGACTCTTAATTTGAAGTTGCATGTACAATTTCCAAGCCTGGAATGCACTGACTCTAGGTGTGGCTTATGCAACAAAGACCCGGTCCATACTGCATGTTTGCATTTTGCGGCGTAAATTCAGCTAAGGAGTCTACACAGGGGAACAAGGCCCATGGTCTTCATCCCCGTATTGCATTTGAACGTGGCTCACATCCAACCACACAGCGGGGAAATGGACTTTCTACTTGAATTGCTGAGATTGAGAGCAATGTGGTGCCAGTCCACCAGCCTAGAAGTGCCCAACAGGGTTACAGGTCTTGGTTTGCCAGTGCTGCCAGCTCTGCTATGGCACAGATACCTTAAAGATGGAAAAGAGCTGAAAAGGCTTCTCATGCAGACTTCTTCAGATTCATTCAGGCACTTTAAAGGGATCTCCAGACATAAACTTGTCTTTTTGAAGAAAAAATATATATCATCATTAAAGCCCTTGATCATGAGATTCTTTTTGTGCCAAACATAAACTGTAGACGGAAAATATTTGAGCAGGAGCTGGCTTCAACTATCAGGCAAAATATGAACAGCTGAACTGGGAATGTAAGTGCTAGGTCCAGAGAGGAAGGTGATAGCAGAAATTGCTGCTGCTTTGAGAAACACGTGATAGGAGGGATGGGCAGGAAGAGAGGAGGAAGGTGCCAGCGCAGAGCAGACAAGGAATATGAAGGGAACCGCACTGTCAGTCTGTATTCACATCAGCGCAAAGCTGAAACAACAGGAAACTGGGAGAGAGGAGAAAGGGAATGAGCCACTCGGCAGGGCTGGCTCTGCAGGGCGGCTGCTCAAAAGACTTTTTGACGTGAATCCGCAGCCATCTGCCCTTGCGGTAGCCAGCTCCACAAGGCTACCAGCCTTCATGCCAAGCCTTCCCCATCAGCTGACACTCCTGAGCCAACCAGCACTCTAAGAACAACCGTAAAGCTGTCCACAGGACTTTGGCTGGTAAGAAGTTACCAAATGAACCAAACAGAAAAAACCCCAAGGCCCGTCGGGACCAGACCACTATGAGACCTTACCAAGTATTGTGTGTAGATTAACAAGTCCTTAAAGACAATTCCTCTTTTACTGAATTTTAAAAAAAAGGTAACCGACCCAGAAAGAACTTAA